TTAGATAGTATATATAGAGACAAGAGTGAAGGCTTCTTCACTCTTGTCAACTCCTTTCTTGCTTCTAGTCTAGTTTCAAGGGTTTCTAGTTTTCTTGTCTTTTGGCAATAGCCATTCCAGTTTCTCTTTCAATATATATAGTTTTTTATATATATTTTGTTACCTCTCTTTGAGTGAAGGCTCACTTGTTTGAATTGTTTTTTCATCGAGTTCTTGTCCTTGACATATACTCAATAATTGGACTAAAAGCGTCTTTTAGATAATGATGCCATTCTTGAAATGAATCCACAATTACAAAAAGCTCTTTATTGTAGATCTTGTAATTAATCTTAGCTATTAAAAATTTCTTGGAATAAAAAACTATTAGATGGAGCTTATCATATACCTCCATTTGTGATAAAACAACACTTGTGGCAAAGTCTAATGCATTTTTTCTCATGAAAAATATCTTAAAATAATTGACATAATACAAAATTGGTGCAAAAATAAATATTGTTTTCAAGGCTTCAAAAGTTGTTTCAACTTTTTTTCTCTAGTTAAGTTTGTCTTTACATGTTAGATATATAAGAAGAGCTGCAACTTGAAAAAAATTCTTGATGAAGATTTGATAATAATTGGCAAATTTCAAAAATATTGTATATTTTTAATTATTTTTGGAACCTTCTAATTTTTGATATTCAAAACTTTTTTAAGATCCATGATTAATTCTTTATTGGAAATAATGTATCCTAAAAAATCAACTTAAGTAGTATAAAATAAATACTTTTCCATCTTGGCATATAATCTTACAATTCTAAGTTTTTGTAATATACAACAAACATGAAGTTTATATTCTTGTATATTCTTAGAATAAATTAGAATATCATTTTAATAACAAACAAAAAAATCATTAAGAAATTTATAAAAGATATCATTCATGAAATGTTTAAAAGTAATTGGTGCATTTGTGAGTTTGAAAGATATGACATTATATTTGAAATGTCCATTCTTATTTTAGAAAGTAGTCTTCTACTCATCCCCTTCTTTGATGTGGACCTAGTTGTATGCTCTTTGTAGATCTACTTTTGTATAGATCTTTGCTTCATTGAATTGGTCAAGAAGTCTTCAAATGAAAAAGAAGAGATACCTATTCTTAATAGTGATCTTGTTAAATCTTTGATAATCTATATACATCCACAAAGATTTTTTTTTTTTTTTTTTTTTTTTTTTCACAAATAAGATAAAAGCTACTACTTGAAATTTTAAATGGCATGTGAAGTTCTTAGCCAAGTTCTTGTTGATATATTTATTTAGCGCAGCCAACTCATTTTGTAATAAGGTGTAGATTAGTCCAAATTGTAATTGAGCTTCTTCTTGTAGATCAATTGAACAATTATAGAATTGATGTTATGAAAGAATAATTATATTTTTTTTTCAAAAATGACTTAGAAATCTTGATATTGGTTAGAAATACCACTTAATATCTTTCTACTATGAAAAATGGATATAGCATATATAGCAAAAGATGATTCTTCTTTTGCTACATGCATGAAAGCTCTTGTACTTATTAGTAAGGATTTGGATGTACTAGGTTTATCTATTTCTACTTCACTATCAAAATTTTGAATTAAATTATAGGAAAATTTAAGGTTATGAGAAATCTAATTTATTTGAGGATTATATTTTTTTAATCACAATAATCTTAAAATAATTGAATTAAAGTGAGATCTTATCACATTAAATATTACTATACTATTATAAAATTTAATTGCTATATCTAAAAGAACAGTCTTATGAGTAATATCTCTAGAAAACAACAAACAACCATCTATGACTTCTATATGTATAAATTTAATTTTCTTGATTAAAGATATTTCTTATTTCTTGACAAAGAATTTATCAATAAAAAAAGTTGAGGCTCATGAATCTAATAATACAAAGACTTTGTGATTTTTAGGTCCTAAATACATATCTATTGTAAAATAAGGTAAAGAATTTAAAGAGAGAATAAGACCTTTACTAGGTATTGTACATGATTCCAATTACAAGGTCCCTATTGTATCTAGAGAAACTTATTTTTTTGATACATTGTCTTCTTTGGCAATCATGCTCCTCATTTTGTGATTGTATTGTTTTTTTAGATAGTGTTGAGTAGTGTGTTTAGCTTCTCTTTAATATAAATACAAACCTTCTTGATGACGTTAAGTCTTTTCTTGCTCAATGAGGGATTTAAAATATACCATATCAATTTGTATTGATTTCACCTTTCAAAAATAAGTTTTTGAGAACTTAAGAGTTGCCATCATAACTTGAGTTGTTTTTCTAACTAACTCTTTGTTCTTGATATCTTTCAAATAACCAATTATTGTATGCAATGTCTTGAACAATAAATCATTTGAAAGATTTACTTTTGGCATTGTCAATAAAAAAATCTTTGATATTATCTTTCAATGCATATTGAAATTAATTGATAAGTGTTTTGTCATTCCAATCCACATTGCAAGTAAGGTTTTAGAATTTAGCAGCATATATGGAAGTTAATTATGATCCTTATTGTAAAGATAAGAGCTTGGTCTTTGCTACTCTTTCTTAATCACTTTTTCCAAATGTAGCCATAAACACTTCTAGGAATGAATTCGATTTATAAAAAAGTCATGAAACTTTTTTAATTAATAGTGCAAATTAAGAGAGACCACTTCCAAATAGAAATGCACTTATAAAACTAACTTGAATAAATCCATTTGGATATTGGAACAGATGCAACTTTGGATAGAGCTTGACTTGTTGCAAAAATCTTCAAAATTTTGATCTTGTTCCATCAAATTTAGGAAACATACTAATTTATATCCCCATCATACTTGTAGAAGCAAAACTTCTTGGATTTGGTTGTGAAGTCAATCTACTTTCTTTCTTCAATTACACAACTTCTTCACATAGATTTTAAACTTCTTTTTTAGGCATAGGATTAATGTTGTTGTGATTGAAGTTGGTGATGTGTGAAATTTCTATTCTAAAAGTATTGACAAGTTCGTAAAGATCTGCAATAGTTGCAAATCTATTCTTGCTTCTATGAAGTGTAGCATCGATGATTTTTTTATTCTATTTCAAACAACTTAACAAATCCACAAGTCAAATTAGAGGAGGATAATCCACAACCCCTAATATTGAAGGAAAATTTCTATAAAGAGGGATAATCCGATGTCTTTAAGAAAAAAATCAATGTTAAAAAACTAAATAGTTTGTTTGAAGGTGAATAATCTATAACCTTCAAAAGACAACAATAGAAGTGGAATAATCTACTCATTTCTAAAACAAAACAAAAACAATAAGTTAGCACTCTTGTCAAATTTTCAAGGACATGAATCTCAAAGGAGGAAATCTTCAATATACTCTTGTGTTACTCAAAAAGATTAGGAAATTACTAAAGAAAGTAGTATATTGAACTAGAATGGCTATTACCAAAGACAAAAAGACTATAAAGTCTTGAAACAATATTAAGGACTAAAAAGGCTTTGATAAGAATAAAAAAGGCTTTACTCTTGCCTCCATATATATTCTTAATTAGGAGCTATGTGGTAATGCCTTATAAGACTTCTAAAACATGTTGACTTTATAAGACACATATATTAACTTCCAAGACAAGTTTTTTATATGTATGCCATATAATTAGCTTATTTTATAAGCTATCAATACGTGGTTAATTTGTTGATTAAGTTTCTAACCTACCAATCAACTATAAACACATGTAAAGTCAAAGTAGCATTTATAAAACTTCTAAAAAGCTTTTAAGAAAAAATATTGAAATGAATCTATTTTTACCTACTTCTATTTAATCATATAGATAAATATTAGAGTAAATATATATATCCATGATAATTAATGAAGTTTTTTATAATTTCAACTATTTTAAAAAATTTATATAATTTTATAATTTATATTATTTAAGCAAATTGAATTAAATAGAATTAGATAAAAATATATTAGGTAGATAATATCTATTTTAAGAAATATTGAAGAAACTTTTTAGGTACAAATTAAAACTAAAAAATCTTTGAGACATACTATGTGGCAATAAAAATTAATTCCAAAAGCTTAATATCTTGAAGATGGTCTTATTGAAGCAACTTATAACTTAGATACTTAAGCCATAAATCATGTGGTTTTTAAAAAGCTTTTATATGGCCTTTGTTCTTACAAAAAAATTACTTTTATTTATTTCTTCTATTTTATTTGTATTGCCTATTTTCTCTTAATTATCTTTCATAATTATTAAAATTTATATTTTTTAACAATACATAAAGTTATTAACTAAAATGTAATTTAATATAACTTTAAAATGATAACATGTGTAAACTTGAATATGTTGTTTACACCATGTTACAAGACGACCATAATCCAAGCATTTTATATATTTAGAAAAAGACATTAGACTTGTGATTATATTCACACAAAAAATACATTATAATAATAATTATGGCTAAAAAAGTCTTGAAATCTAATGTTACACTAGCCATGAAGAAAAATTAAATAAAAAAAGAAAATACAAATAATTATTTAAAATAAATGGTCAACATTGTAGATGGTGGTGGTAGCTAATGGAACTTTATACTAAGTGATATCTTAAAAGCCTTAGAAAGATTTCAATAGCATTAGATCGAATAGTTCTTTTAAACATGTTACTTAAATAGATGCAAGCTACAAGATAGATGTAAAAATTAAAGTGGATTTAAATTACAAGGTTAGATATTATAGTTTCACATTTTTCAGAGGAATATTGATGATCATTCTCTTACAACCTTGGATTACTATACAGAAGGGAAGAAGAGATTAATAATACCACATATGTTATGCAATAACAATATTGTAACAGTATTGTTACATTTCTAATATTACACATACAATTGCAAGGAAACATTTTGTAATATGACAGGATATTATGTAATATTATGAAATTGCAAATAAGTATTATGTAATTTTACAAGACAAAGCAATAGAATATTGTGAACAAATAAAGGCACAAGTAGTCAACAGAGTGAACATGAATAACATTGACAAGAAGACGTAATAAAGTACAATGTTTCTATAGCTTCACTTCGAAATCTTTTTTTATTCTTCTAAATTGGAGAGGCGAAAACTTACCAACACATGGAGAAATCTTACTAAATGAGATGATAATTGTTTTGCTTACCTTTTAGGGCGACTTCTACTGAGCGTAGAGGACGGTGGCGTAGTCTAGAAAGGGGCACTAATTCGCACATTGCCGTCCATATCCCTCACCGTCCCTCTTTGCGTATGTACACTTTAGAGCGTTTCTCTACAGAATTTGTAGTTCACGCATTCTGACAGTAAGCTATTGCGGGGAGAAAGGAGTAAAATGAGAATGAAAATCACCGCTAGCATGAGAAAATACATTGCTCAGATGCGCCCAGAGTGAAGCCACCTGCAGATGCTTTTGAGAATATCACTATCGAAGAGGCTTTGAGCACCGTGAAAGGGCTGGGGAGCCCCCAAGTAACTCCTGCGCAAGGAGAATCAACATTTTGAAATAGTAAGTGGACAACTTGAACATTTACAAGTAGCGTGGCATGGCGTTTAAACAGAGCCATGTGCATTTTGTCGTTACAGATTCAGATTGAGTTTGATTTAGCTACACACACTTGTAATCTAGTTATGTAACCGCATCAATCCCTGTGTTAATCGGACGAGGGAAGGGATTCACTAATGGGCTGTTGTGGTGATCTGAAGTTGATCTGATGATACATGACAAAACATTGATGAAAGACTTAAGAGTGAAAAAATTCGACAAAATGATGGGCATATAGCAGAATATGTATGTCCAGCTTGGCATTAACATCCATTTTCGTATAGTCTTACGTTATATTTGCAATGTAAGCACCCGAGCCTATTAACAACGGTAACAGAGTGAAGCAGTAGCTCCGAATAAGTGGTAAATCAGCGGAGGGGAAAGCAACCTTCCAAGTAAAAGTTCAAGTGTGTCGAGGCTTTTGATAGAGTCAGGATAGTCTCTGTACCATTGGCAGCATGTGTTTGCAATTGCATTTGCAAATTAACAACTAGCCTAAACTTCAGTGCCCATCTTATGAAGGTTAAAGTACCTGGAATCTTCTTGTTGGGTGTTATAATGTTGAATTTTTAGAACACGAATCGCTTTGTGGTTCCGTTCATGCTGCTGCAATCTAAGCTTAGTCTCCTCCGGCTTCGTGGTGATGAACCACGTACCGACGATGATACCGAGACGGCAAGCTTGGAGATAGACCTTTCAGCAGCAAGAATACGAGAGTAGTGCTCCTCGGTCACTTTTGAATGAGAAATTGGTGTTAATACATCGTTTGTGGGCAGCTCTGTGAATTTCGTAGGGGTAGGGGTCTCCTTGATGCCAAAGGTCTTGTCAACAGGACCCTCCGACGTCGTCGTACATACCGAGTTGTCTGCTGATTGATCTGGTTTCTTCGCAGTCGCTGGCCATGGAGAACGCTCCATTAATTTTCTCTTTGAATTTGTGATATCGTTTCTTGTATCTATCTTCAATCCCGTCCTCGGGGAATCGGTCAGCACGCCCCTTGGAGCAACAATTCTTTTGGAGTATCCAGATGTAAAGGTCATAGGTGGCTGTTGGGTCATCATGGGGTGATCACAGAGCACAATAGGAGATTTTTTCCCACGGCTGCTTGCAGTAGGACTCATGAATCTCGGAACCTTTCGGAGAGGGGATATAGCGCAGGAGTCCGTCTCAGGCTTCTCTGAATCAATGTTACAAGGTGAGAGTGATGGTAACGTATCCCCAACCGATACACCCTGCTGTGGATTGGTAGTGAATGAAGTATCTCTGGGCAGCATCTTCTCATTTTTCACTTGTTCGAGGCTACATCGCTTTTCTCCCAAGAGGAGATTCAGTGACTTGATTTTGTTGCAAAGAAGTTGACATTCGCTTTCATGAATGCTGTTCTGTTTAGACAGCTCGGACATAGCCGCCGCTTTCAACTTCTCCGCGTCCTGAAATGCTCCAATCACAAATTACAAAATGGACGAGAATCAAGTAAGGCCACTTCTCCATCAACTTTCAATAGGAAGTGGGACACAAGAATCGAGCAACCGACATTTCAAACGAAACAAAATACAGATGAAAGCAAGGAATGAGTAAAGGACATACTGCTGATAGATCATGGCCCAGATGTGTGCCTCGAACACGCGTTGCAAAGCTGAGTGAGCAGATCGTCTCTCCCAAATCCGTCTCCGTGGGGCTCACGTGTACGAGCATCAAGGTTTTTGAATTGTCACCTTTTGAGAAAAGAAAAAAGAAAATCAAGGTTCTCAATACCGTTGCAAAATCTTAGTCAAGTTCTTGTCAATAGGTCGACTTGTAAATATCCTATGCATGGATCAAACCTTCTGATTACTGTTGGTTGAAAAGTATTAAAGGACGATGACTATACCCAAAGAATCTCGAAGAATCTGTGTAAGCTTGCTATTCCTGCAGAGCACATAACAAAAAACAATCGATCAGGCGTCTAAAATGATAATTTTTTTAACCTCTACAGATCTACTGAGACGTGAGAACTTTGAATCTGTACTCATATACAAGCGACACGTACTAAGTCATCAATGATATCCGTCTATGAACAAAGCATTTCAAACCTGTAAGGAACATGTGGTCGACGCTTATGAAGTGCACTGATCACGTCCCCTAAAGCTGAAAGTGAAATATTGATAGCGCGTCCCTCTTCCATGGTCAATCCTTGCGCATTGGTTTTCAAAAGTCGCTCACTGCCTCCGAGATCGATTAACCAGAGCTTACTCATACGTTTCTTGTTGTCATGAGGCGATTTGCAAACGATGTTGATGCGAAGCAAACTGTCATTTACACACATTTCATGCCAAGCGATCACAATAGGTTTGCGGATTCACCAAATTATGTCTACAAAATGATTGCTGGAATTATAAAGTCTTTGTATTCTGATTTGATACAAACATTTGGCCATTGAAAGCTAATCAGCCTCAGGAATGACTGGGCGTAGTGATTTGAGTTCATGCTACCTGCATCTCAAAATATTGCTCAAACAGAGTTTGAGCAATAAACAAGCACACTAAAGGCCTCGAGAGGTGCAGCAAATAAGTAAGAAATGTACCAGTGTGATCTGCTGGATGTATCATTAGCGTTTGTCCATGCTGTTGAACGTCGTCGGGAGCCTTTTAAGTATAATCGGCTTGCTTCTTTAACATCGGCGATTGGTATTTCTGTCAAGTTCTCCACTTCAATAAATCCTTTCGAGCCCATTTGGATGGACAAGCTGCAAGTTCCCATCAACTCGAGCTGGCTGTCAAAGCAAGTTCTCTTGTACCTCTTACAATTCTCATGTGGAAACTCTACTTACAATTGTTCTGCTGTAATTCAGAATCCAAGTTTGAATTCTATTCAAGAAGTAACAGCACCACCTTATCAGACTTGCTCATGACATTTAATTTGTGATGTCTTACCATTTGGTGGCATCTGTGTGCCGGGTAGGTCGAGCTACCAGCAGATCTCTTAGCGAGCCTTTGTAAACCTCAAGCATACTTAAGGAATAAGAGTATTGTATGTTTGTGTCGTATGAAGCTTCCTCAAAAAGTCGTCGAAGAGAACGTGGTACTACACCTGGGTCGTCATTGGAGCCCTCCTGCACAATCACTCAACATAAGCGAACGTTTAGAATTAAAGGCATTATTTTATCAACAGTTGTTGGCCATGATCCTCTCGGTTTAGCTCTCTAGATTTAGTACTCTGAGAAGGTCTGTGATACTGACCATTGTAAAAGTTTTCCCAGAGCCAGTTTGTCCATAGGCGAAGATGCAAACGTTGTGGCCATCTAAAGCAGACCTGATAATCGGCTCAATTTCAGCGAAAACATCATCTGATGTCACACACAAGCTTCATTAATCCACATATACACAAGTATACATATAAATTTCTGACGATTTTGTACAGTAGAGCACATGATAAAGCTTCATTACGAACTGATTTTTAAGAGCACTCGACCAATACCTTGCACAGAATTAGGTTGAAACACTTTGTCAAACTCAAATTCCTTGCGGGAGTTTCTGCCCGAAATTTTCACCCAATTCTCACTGGCGTTCGTAACGGGTCCTGGTCGCGCATGCTTCTCAGCAGGTAAAAATGGCCTTATTCGACAGAAAACTCGAATGTTCCCTAAGATGGAGGTCATTGCCAACAGTCAACTGCCTTTCACATTCGTTGTACATTTATTGAATTATTCACACGCCAGAGGTTTTGGTGTTCTGATTAGAATTAATCGTAGGTATTGGAGTGTGAAGTAGAATAATACCTTTGAGATCCAGTATACGGTTAAGGCTGCTACGGCGGAGCGAGTTGGAGACTTCCAAGGCAGTCCGTAACACACTTAACTCTTCTGCAATTATCAAGGCCGACAACAAATTCTAAGTAGGACCAGCGTCGCCAAATAGTAATATTAAACGCTCGACACACACACACACACTCACACACACACACACACACACACACAAAAAAAAAAAAAAAAAAAAAAAAACTACGATCAACTTCCAATTCAGGACACTGAAATACGAATGACCTTGCGAATATAGCCTCCGCCTAAAATAGAAGGTATTACGCGATCAGTGCTTGATGAAAGAAGCCGGTCTAAGAGGAGCAGTTGCTCTTGGTTTCTAAGAATCTCGAAGTGTCCTCACCTTCAAGTTTACCAATTTCTCGATCAAGGCACTCTTGCCGATTGTGAGCATTGTCTCCATCGGAGCTTGAAGACAATGACACCGTGCAGCTATTGCACGTCATTGGTGAACCACATGCTGAATTCATGATAGAACGCACGGAATCAGCCCACTCGGTTGTCAAGGATGACTTTGAGCCTAGAAGTGAGTCAAGACTTTGGGAGAGAGAGAGAGGCGACATCTGCTTTACATTGTCGTCCTGCTCATCTGGAATTATGATCGTCCGCATGATCTCAGTACTGCAGTCCTCCCAACAGATTTCTCCCGATAGACTGCTGTCGCCTATGTGCATTGAGGTAAGATGCATCGACAAATTCTTTGGTTTCAAAGAAACCAAGAAAAGCTGAAAAAGGAAAGTATTACGGAACACAAATAAAAGCTCACTAGTCTGCTTTCCTCTCCCAGTTCATTGTCAAATGGAGTTGATTGACGCCCACAATGCTATCATTAAATATCATGTTGGAAAAGGAATTGAGTCTGAAGGATCTACATCCGCACAAAGTACTTGGGGAGAAAAGGTACCTATCCTTCACTTATTGCTTGAGAAGTGAACTATCTGCAACTTGTTGAGGAACGCACCAAATAGATACCAGTGCTGGGAACGTTGAGTACTTCATACATCCGTGAGCTCGCAATGGACGTTAACCTGGTCAACATGCATTCCTAGTGAAACATGCGGCCATTTGAACTGATCATTCTCAGAACGTCGGTGAAAAGAATGTTAGATGCTGCGCGTGAATGAACTCCATAATCCCCATTGTACTGTCAGGCGAAAGGGAGCGCCCTCGGATGAGATGGAAAAATCGTCTGGAGGGCATAGTTCACAGTTTCAAGGCAGCCTTCTGTACACCTTGCAGCGGAGCCGCATCTACCATTAATGGAGTCGAATCCATGTGCAAGCTTCTAAACCTCTGACTTACTGACCAGCCCTGCCAAGAATATAGAAATCACTTCTTCTTAGAGGTGTGTAGTGGCGGATGTACTGACTAAGAAACGCGTATATTCAGCGACAGCGAGGGATACCCTCGCAATCCGAGCTCGAAGCTTGTGAATGAGTAAATAAGAAACTCTACTAAAAAGTGAGCCGAACCGAACAGCTCGTTAGCCCACGCCCGCAAGCATTACGTGTTAAGGAAAAGCTTCTCCGCAGCAATTCCACAACTCTACAAGACAACAGAGTTGATCGAATTTCTGCACATTGAGGCAATGAAGCGTCCTATCTCAAGTGTCCAATTGCCTAACAATTCTTGAAGGTTGCAAACTTTCACCAAGAATAATGTCTGGTGCTCTTAGAGAAGCAGCTTACCACCTCATGGTTGACAAAACCTACAGTAGTTACGTTAAGATAACTGTAAGCCTCAAACCATGCCATTGCGGGGGGGGGGGGGGGGGGGGGGGGTTTTTTTTCCCCCCGGGGAAAAGAAAAGGTTTAACATGTCCCCCCTGAAACCGGGAAAAAGGGAAAAAAAAACCCCCCCCCCGGGGCCTTTTCCCCTAAAGAATTCTTAAGGGGAAAAAAAAATTCGGGGTTTGGGCCTTGAAAATTCCTTAATTTTACCCTTGAAAAAATGGGGGCCCCGGCCCCAATCCCCCGAAAAAACCCCCAAAAAAGGGGTTTAAACCTGGGGGGGGGGGGGGTTTTCCCCTTGGAAATGGGCCCCAACCTGGGGCCAAAAAAAAAAAGGGGCGGGGTTAAAACCCCCAGGGCCTCTCCCAAAAAAATCCCCCCCCAAAAGCCCCCCTTTTGGATTTTCCCCCCTTTGGAGGGAAAAGAGGGCCTTAAAAAAAATTTGTTTCAAAAAAAAATTGTGCCCCCAGAAAAAAAAAAGTTTTCCCCTGGGCCGGGGGGAGAAGAATAAAAGGGGGGGGGGCAAGGTCTCCGGGGGGGGGGGGGGGTGTGTGTGCTCTCCGGGTGAAGTGAAAGTGTTGATCATGTCGCTCATGATACTGTAGAACAGGAGACAAATACACGCACTCCAGTGACCTTTCCCTCTAACGATCTCATACTGCTAAAACAAATTCAGGCATTAGGCCTTGATAGTTACTTAATTCTTACGTTGTAAGTACTGGCGTCACTGCTCGCAGTCCTCGAGAATAACCTCAAAAAAGCAGTTTAATACATGACGCGGGTTGAGCTTTCCCCTTGCAGATTGGACTCGATCATGAGTCAACAACAAAGACTGCACGCGTTCAACACTCCATGGCCTACTCCGACAAAACTCGACCTCAGAAGTCGCCTCTCTAGCATTTCGCCGCATTGGAAGGACAAGCAGGCCATGACAAAAATTTGCTTCGAAGACAATATGATGCTCCGAGATAAGAGAAGCTCTCACCTGTGCCAGGGCGATGATGATCAAAGTCGTCGGTCGCAAGCTCTCAGGGCTGGGTGCAGGAAAACGTGCCTGATCTGGCCATGGAGGACACAAATACCAGTTGGTGAGAGGGAGAGCGGCGTCGCACACAAGTCTAGACAGGCAGGCAGGCAGCAGTGCGACAGAGGTCACCAATGGTGCAGAGCTTTGACTCTGTCTTTGAATGCGCGAAGAGGCGGCTTCATGGTAGAATTCACCGCTCCTGACACAGCTGCCATAGCAATGGACTCCCTGTCTTCCATACGTCTTCCCGCAAAAATGTACCTTCCGGCCTCAACATCAATACAGACAGAAACGCAATCAATTGTCATGAACATTGCCATACTCCTAGTTTCATATCCTGAAGGATACAAGGCAATAAACACATTACCAAGCTTTCTCTCCAATTAATCCCTCCCATTCCACCTTTACAAAGTCCATTAGTAAACTTCTAGTGCGCTTTGGATTCGACATTTCCTAAGCACAACCTGTCCAGCAACGTGGTACAAGTGTTCGTTCTATCTTCTAATAGAACGCTGTACACAGTGTGGAGCATCTCTCTTGTCCTACAGGTAGTGACAAGCCCATAGGGTCCTTGAACGTATTTGTAGTACTTGCTGTACTGAAACAGGTTAAGTCACATTAACAGGTTCTCAAGCTTGTTTTATTGTATGACTCAGAGCACACATTCCAATGGTGTTAGGCTACAAGTTCCTGGCAGGAATTGCTGCAGCTGAGGTGTTTTTTTGAAGCATTTTAGAATAAATCCTAAAATTAAGGTACATGTGTACCCAATGGTGACCTCCAGTAACATCATCACAGATCAGTAGGTGGATATACTATTACCAATCTATTCAAGGGGTGGTGGTAGCCACCACTACTCATTGATAGTAACCTTGAAGCACTTTAGGGAGGGAGATGGAGAAGGGGAAATATGTCCATTTCATTTCATATCATTTTTATGGGTGTGGTTACATATGGTACAGCATTATGGCAGTGGCACATTAGTCTTATCTTATTTGTGTGATTATTTCTACAATATTAATGAAGGCAAACATTATTCTTGGTCATTATGTTGGGTCATCCCTCTCCCTTCCTAAACAAGTTTTGTGGCAGAGCTGGCTTGTTCCCTTGCTTGACTTTTATTATTAAAAATAATACTAAGTTGACAAGTCCAGATTCAACAGATTTGTGAGATCTATTCATGTTTTTATTGTGTGTGGGGGGGGGGGTGGTGGAAATGCCAAAAGGGCTTGTGTGTGTGTGTGTGTGTGTACATATATATATATATATATATATATACTTGTGGTTTTTCTGACTGGTTGAGGCAGATTGGTCCCAATTTCCAACAAGTGCCTATGACAAGTTCCAGGCAATCCAATCCACAAAGCCATTACCATGTTCAAGTGCTTTCTCAATTGACAATCTTAATGACTGGTGATCACAAATTAATGTCAATAAAATAAAATAAAAAGTAGGCAGAATCTGTTCCTAACAATGTCAACTAGTTTTATCTACAATACAAAGAAAATCATAAAATTTTCCACACAATAGTTTAGAAATTATTAGTAGTTATAAGGTAGTATATAATACATTGTACCGTAAGAATTAGTATATTTTTTTAACTCGGTGGTGATTGATTTTAAATAATAATGTACAATAATAGTAATAATACCAATAATTTTCCAATTTTGAATTCCAAAATTGAGAATCCTGTCAAAAATTTATAAACAATCTTTACAAATATGTGTGTTTTTTAATGAATGTAACTATACAAAAATCATATCATTAATCTAACTTATTTTTACATATTTGATGAACCTTGAAGGTTGAAAAACAATTAGTGTATATATATATATATATATATAGGCTTTGAATGTGGTATCAAATAATAATTTAATGTGAGATTTCATCAAATAATAAGTCCTCTACAAAATTTGTTGGAAACTTAAGTAAGAAAATCCCAGACATGAATCAAGTAATCTCATCAAGTTCTAAAGCAAATGAAAACAAATATAAGAAATTAAATTATATATATATATATATATAGAGAGAGAGAGAGAGAGAGAATATGTAACTTTAGTATATATTATTAATGCTTATTAAGGTGTAGAATGAACTTAAAGCAAGGTTTTGGAATAGTTTAAAAATCTGTCATTATAAATTCTTATAAAGAAAAAAATGTTAGATTGTAAATCTTCAATACATATTGTATTATATAAAAGTTTTATTTTTATTCATTTTTTATTAATAAAAATTAAAAATTAAAAGATTAATAAACATATCAAAAGAAATTGGATTGACTCAAATTCAACATCAATTTTTAAATAATTTATAGAAAATTAGTATTGTATCTTTTTATAATATATAAATGTCTAATAAAAACAATACAGAAAAAAAAAACAAACAAACAAACAAACAGACAAACAAAACAAAACAAAACAAACAAACAAACAAAATTATTAGAGTGTATTGTGTTATAGATATGATTTAAGCATAGTTAGGTTTTAAAAAACATAATGCTTTTTTTAATACTTATTTAAGTAAGTTTATTTTAGAATTGTTTATCCATTCTAAATTTAAAACTAAAAAGTTAATTTGGAGATGAACTTGTAACAAATCAATTATTTTATCAAGAAAAAAAATACCAATAATTTTGAAATCGTCTTCTTTAAAAAATCATACATATATTTCAGGAAAAAATATTAATGATTTAATATATTTTTGTTAACATAAATAAGTTCTTATTAAATTTAGAATAAAAAATTAAATGCTCTATTATGTTAATAAAAATAATCACATCAAGACCCTTGCAATTGATCTTTGTTACTTGTTACATATCTTTCAAATTAATTTATTGGAACAAGTTTACCATAATTTTTTATAAAAAGGCAGATAAGTATATACATATATACATATTATTTTTATAAGATTATATTTAAGTGTATTAAAATTTTAAAAAGGAATTGAAATTCTATATAAGAAATTTCCAATTGATCTGGCATTTGTAATCACTACCATCAAAACTCAAAATCAACTATTAAACAAATCTAAAAAAATGTTAAAATCTTATTGTTCATTCATTGCCAATTATATATATATATATATATATATATATATACATAAAGTAATTTTATATTATCTAGTCATTTGGAAGCATATAAATTATTCAAACAACATACTATGTTAACAATTTTTAAATAAAGAAACAAACAAACAAACAAACAAATACAAGAATCATATGGCAACTAGCCTTGGAAGAAAATCCCATGAAAATTCTAGGTAAGCAACTGACACTGGCAGAGCTCTTGACATGGGCCGGATTCGAGGAAAAAAAGGAGAAAAGAATAGAAAAAAGGAAACTTAGAAATTAAGGTAAAAGGAGAAGGAGGAAAAAAAAGGGCAGCACTGAACCTCACTCACACTTACGTAGGCAGCCTCATCACACGGTGGTAGGCGTTAGTCCTTCATAGCAAAAGCCGGCCACGAAAGTATCTTTTGTAACAGACAGACAGACAGACAGACAGAGACAGTTGATAAAGGGTGAGGGGGTGCAATTGAGAACTGTCACCACCACAACCCGAACTCACCACACTACACCACGAAATAGTGACTTCTCCCCCATGACTCCTCACTACCAGTGAGACACCAGACAAACTAACAAACTCTCATCCATCCATCCATCCATTCATACACCCATCTATCCGTCGATCCATCCATTCCTATATTCATCCATCAATATTCGTTGATGAATGAGAAAGGTCTTGTGGATGAGGGAGATTTGACGATATATATTCATCTAGGAATGAATGGATGAATATTCGTCTCACTTGTTTAGTAGTGCCCCACAACCCCATGTGTGTGTATGTTTAGGGCTAAACATTTACACACACACACACATTCCAGAAGCACTCTCCCTCTCCTTCTTGACCCTGGAAATGAAACCCTAAAACGAACAGTTCAGTGAAACCAACCCTAAAAGTAGCACAGTTCCTCCACCACAACAAAGTGAGGCTTTTTTAGTTTTTGTTTCCATTTTGTGGGGTGTGGGGTGGAGTTGGTGAGGGGGGAGGGGGTGTTGCATTAAAGAGGTGACTCACTTCACAGATGTCCATAGGGTGGGATGGATGGATCAAGGGAATGATGGAAAAGCTTGTTGTAGTAGTAGAAGTAGTAGTGAATAAGAGGAGGGAGGAGGAGGGCTATCAATAGATAACCCTCCTCTTTTGCTGCTGCTGCTTCCACCTCCCACCCTTGTACTACCCTCATTCATTTTTATTTTGGGTTTTTCTGTTTTTTAAAAATAAGATTGTATATTAAAATTAGGTTATTGTTGTGTGATGTCTGTGTTCAAATCATTGAGAAGCAGACTTTGATTGGTCCCCTCATGATTCAATCTGGTTTTCTTGTGACATTGTAGGAAGGCAGATGGACTGGTGGACTCTTTGGGTTGAGTTGCTTTGCCTTTGTTTATTTATTTATATTTTTTGTTTTTTTGTTTTTTGTTGAATATTTTCTTGGACTATTTGAATATATTTCCTATATTACTTTCTTAGATTATTGCTTTTAATTATATTTTATATTATTTTTAAATTATTAAAATTCCGAAATGAATGTGGATTTTGAGGAACAAAAAGTTATTTAATCATGTAATTTTTTTGATGAATATCAATCAATTAAATTATTTCTTAATCCAAATATACTTTTTATAAATAAATAAATAAATAAACGTAAGAATGATCCTTCTTACCCAGTAGATGATACTTGAGTTTCAACAATGATTAATTCTTAAGCTTAGATGGTATTAAATCATATTTTTTAAATTAAAAATAAAAAATTATGTTTTGATTTTTAAAAAAATATATATTTGTATAAAAAGATGGAGAGCAAGCACTTGACTGGAATAAACTACTCGTATTTAAAACTGAACTGATTCAAACCTGGTTTAACTTGAGTAGTTAAAAATTGAAGGTATTGGTTGTTGTATAATTGGAACCGGATTAAATATGATAAACTTCATATTTCATGTTGAAAGGATTTTATTTATTTATTTTTTAATAAATGCGATGTTTATCATTTATACATATTTACCGTTTAATATAATGTTGACTTTAATTTTGGTGATTTTAAGCATATCACACGTTATTTTCAGGGTTTTGTCAGATTTTTGTCATGGAATTAAGCACGGCTGTTTTAATTTAACATGTTCAGCTGGCAAATTTCATAAATTGGGATTTGGACGGGTTAAAAGAATAATGATACTGATTATGATAGATTATACAAGTCCTCAGAATTGGATAGAATTTTAATTGAGAGAAGGGTCCTGCCAAAAATATATTGATAAAATTAGTATAGTGAAATCTTATTGAATTGCTGTTATAACTGCCAATCACATTATCAACTGCATTCTTTACTTGGTTGACAAACATTTCAATGCTCTGTCAAATTCTTATTTTTATTTTTATTGGCAAACAATTGGATCAAACATAAGACCTAAGAAATTATGTTCTTAGGTCTTATGCTTGCATATATCTTTAATTCAACATCATTGAATTAAATTATTTATCTTTGATTTGAAGGCCTCACAAGAATCAAATGAAACAAATAACAACACTAGATGCAATGTATGTAGCTGGAATTGGTTCCCAAAAACATTATTAATTTAATGAGAGTTAATAATTTTCAAAGGATTAATTATTGGTGGAATATATATATATATATATATATCCATTGAAATCAAAAGTGATTGTAAGCCTTGAACAAAATGAAGATTTGGTCATCACAGTAATTCCCAAAGACATTATATAAGAAAATAAAATAAAAAACTAAAACACCCCTCCCCCTTTTCTTGAGACCAATGAGTCTATGAATACAGAAACCAAGCCTCAGAAGCTGAATGTCATGCACATGGGAATTAATCAGTAAACAAATAAAGTTATATTTATTTTTGTTTAGGTTTGGATCGAAGTCTGCCTATGTTGTAATTTTTTTCTTCTTTTTGCAGTGTTGGCATAGGATGAAGTCATATATCCTTTTTTCAGCTTTCCTCAAGTAAAGTTTGGATGAATGCTGTTCCCAAGTGTAGTTTGTTCCCATGTGCAGGTAGTTCCCATCACCAGCACAGACCCATTTTCCTGTACAAAGCTGTGCCCCATAGTGTAATCTAAAGTTGCTCAGCTAGCTCCAAACTCATCTTTTTAGGGTAAATCGCATGAATAGATTCAAGTATGTGGTATTATGAGCTTTGAGGTGTTATTATTAGGACCTTTATATATGGTTACACTTTGTATCCCATTCCTTTTACCTTTTCATTCCTTTTATCAATTAATAATAATAATAATAATAATAATTTGGCATGGTTACTTCCCATAATACATAATTTATATCCATGCTTGCACTCATTTTTTAGTCCAAATATATATATATATATATATATATATATATACAATCAAATGCTTCTCATGTAAGAATATAGTAATCCAAAATTGCTCTATAATTTTTGCTCATATAGTTTATTGTATTATTTGGTCTTGTACAAAGCTATCATAATTTTTCTTTGTATATACATATTTTCAATTTGATTGTGATTTTTTTTAATAGCATGTTGTTAATGTGCATAAAATGAACATAGCTATTGCCTTATACACAACCCTATTTTTAATTCTAATTACCTTGCAACAATCCCAGACAATGATACCACACACACAGAACAACCATCTTGTAGGGAAATTCCATCCCATCCCACCTATTGCAACATTCATGAAAAAAGCAAGCAAGTGAGTAAAAAAGCCACAAAGTGAAATAATCCTTGGTAAAGAGACCATCATTCCAATCTGCAATGGCAGAGTGTGCTTTGGGGGCAGTGTATGCTTTAGTTATTTAAATTCAAACTAGCAGAAATGCATACCATTGGGCAAGGAAAAGTTGATTACAGGTAATAAACTGGAGGTCTTTTTGTGGGTTATGTAGGGCTTTCTGCTGGTTAACAATTTCTTTTGTTTCAGCCACCAATGAGAAGGCTTCTTAATCTCTTTGTCTTGTATGTAAGCTTCCATATTATATAGATGCTGGTTTATAAAAGGGGTGTGAGGGAGTGGTCACTTCCCCACTGGTGGAAGAGAACTGTGTTTCCACACTGTCTCCACTGCCTCAGGCACAGGGACCTGCATGTGAGACAGGGTGGATATGCATGCTTGCTTGCAGCACAACCTCCTTTCCCTGCATTATTCCATGTGGGTGTGGCTTGTGGTGCAAGGAGGTGGGAGGGGGGGGGGTGTGTGGAAAATTGCACAGCACCCACCTCATCAGCAGCTCAAGGCTCTTTTCTCCCTGTGGCTCTCACAGTGCTGAGCTGTGTCAATCCACTTTCTGCATTGTAAGTCACTGGTGAGTAATGCTGAAAAATGACCCACATAACAAAAGTGTGTGGATAAAAAGATACATATATATATATATATATAGAAATAAACACCCTGAAGGACAAGTTACTTTGAGCCACACATGCAGTATGCCCCTTGACAAATTCTATATGACATGATATGTGATAAATTCACATTTTACTGGTGAAGTGAATTACCCCAGATGCATTTGAAACACTCAAAAACATATATGTATATGTTTATATATATATATATATATACATACATACGTATTAATGGAATGGAAATCGACAAGCATTGAGATTTCTGAAATGCAGGAATTAAGTCAGTTAGAATGCTGATAGGCTGGTCCCCACAACACACCCAGCTTACTGTTTTTTGTGATAATATACATACATACATACATACATACATACATTTATAAAATGCAGATTAACTAGGATTGATTGGATGGGCAATCATTAGATAACTATATGCTTGGCTCATGCACAATGATAACCAGCTTGGTTCTTAGCCCTGCACTGCCCTGTCCCGTTTCCAAGAGGAACTAGTGTTTATTACAGAATCCTCCCAATAATGAACCAGGACCGTTGTGTGTAGCTTCTGCAGAGGTGCTGCTTGCAGCAGGTCCTCTGATCTTCTTGAGTTCCGTTTTGGAAACTTGGCAGGTTGGTTTCTTGAGTGGATTCTACTGGTATGCAAGCTTGCAGCTCTGCAAATTGGATCAGAGTTGCCAATCCTATCATGTTGTGGAGATGGTTACTCAGAGTTCAGAGACAACGGAGTAATTGCACAGCTATGTGGTCTCCAGGCCCTTGTGGTACAGCTTACAAGTTGCCCTCATAAGCAGTTGATTCAGGCTCGTACACAAGCCTTGAATCAACCGAGTATTGATGATGGTGTAGAGGGCAGGTGTACAAGGACACGGTGTAATAGTATATCCTACTAGGCCGTGCTGAAAAGTGCTTAACGTTTGTACAGAATAGAAAATAACTGATCGAGGAGGAACAGAGTTGCTACTCAATGGCCTCAAGACAAGCCGATGGCGAGGTACACCCGCCCATTCTGCGTGGTCCTATTGCACAACATGTCCACTCCGTCCTTAGATCTTCAGATGGGGATATCAGAGTGAAATCAATTGCGAAGTTTGTCCAAGTTGAATAAAACATTAGACTTCTGGTACAACTCTAACAGAATGAGATGCGTGATCACGTTCCTACCTCTGCCAGCCAACTATCAGAATTAAGTATACAATAGAGTATTTTGAAGTACACCGCTCGTTACGATTGCTCAAGAAATCCTAACAGCGAATGACCAACTGGGAGAATTTGGACACATTGCTAATAAGATGGCATGTAGTCACAACCGCTGCAATTATTGGCTTTCTTAGAGAGCTCAGAGATGAGCTGCTGGAAATACGTAGAACGCAATACTAGTTCACAATTACTGCTGACGAATTGAGCATCAGGCCAGTTGAGGATACCGTGAAGTGGATACGTGCAGCCCACCAAACTCTGCTAATCCCAGTTTGAGAAAACGAGAGATCAAAATAATAGCAAAAAGAGAAGACAAAAAAGATTGAGCAAGCAATCAGACTGAGCGTTGAAAGAAAAATATGTTACTGTAATAAACATTATTCGTGGTATTTAGAAGCCATTCACTATAATTTACGTCTGTAAAAATAGGTGCCAGGACTGGCAATGAACTTTGAAAAGCAGCACCCATATTTACCCATGGTATTAAGGTAAAATATTACATCAACTCCAGACAGTAAAGAAAATCATCTCGGCAACCAATAAAAATTCGCCCACTGATCATGACTGGCGATGAGAAAACCTCACCAGGCAGTTTTATGTCAGTAACCTCCTGAATCGGGAAAATGATCTTATCGAGGGAGGGCCTTTCGTTTAAGGCTGAGAAGAGCGACGGTGACTGCGGATCACTGAAGCAACTTTTGTTTTGTACCAAGCTCCTAGACGATATAGCAGATGGTGCACGTAACACATGGACTGTGCCAGAAGTAGTGGCAACGCATATGAGGCTGCAAACATGAAATAAATACACAAAATTCATATCACCGCTGTACAAAAATCATGAAAAAAGAAATCCAAATCCCAAAGGGAAATCAATAATGAGCATTGAATTCCTAGTTAACTTGCATTCCTAAAAATCGTAAAATTTGACATCAAGCATGAGCCAAAAATCAGGTACTCAAGTTGATCTTGTAGGTTGTTCCACAGAAGGTACCTCTCCATAATCTGATGCTTCTCGCTACGGTCTTGTAGCAAAACCAGGTCCTCTTCAACATAAGCAGAAGATGTAATAGGACCGCCTACATTGTACTTCCATACAGTACTGCCATTTTGCTGTATCCAGACAGGCGTTATTGACGTAACAAAACGTCAATTTGTTTAAAATAAGCACCAGAGGTCTTTGGTCTACCACACAAAAGGAATTCTAAAAAGGATTCCCAGGAAAGTTCATGGCCTTGCTTGTTTAGAAGAAAACATTGCATGATTGGCTTTTAAAAGTAAAATTAAGAAGTTCAGATCAATATAACGCAATAACCAACTCGACGACTGTAATTACCGATACAAAATATTCAATTAATACACGATCACGAAACTAATAAACACGTTTCTTCTCCATGAAAATATTGAGATACTTATATGTTAATGATCCCTTTCTGATGTTTCCAATATGATTTAACATCGTTCACGAGCATTCACTGGAGGCTCGGAGTGACTTACGAGGTTTATGCAGTACAGATGACAGTCTCCAGAACATACTAGCACCTGAACCGAATAGTGTCATAATATCATTACACCGAAAAGAACATGAAGCACGACATTAAGCTATGTGAAAGAGAAAAAATAGAAATATTTAGAAGATAGTTTTACCTGAGAGATGAGGACACGGGAGATAGTTGCTCCAGCAAAAATTGGACCCTCAGTTTTAGCCTACAACATCGATGTTTTAGTCTTACTTTCTCAGGATTTACAAAAATGGCTTGAGGTCGACAGTAAACCAGTGTATAAAAGAGATTCCAGGAAGCACCTTTGTCTAGCTAGAAGACGCTAAGAAATGAAAAACAATGGAATTTGTACATTCAGATTAATAACCAATAACATTTAGAAGCATGATTGCAATGAGTAGAAGACTTAAAGCGAACCTGCCACGCGGGAACACCATTGGGTTTGAGCGCAATCACACGGCCACTAACACTCGTACAAATAACTGCACTAAACATGACCACAACAGTGAACTTAATGCAACTCACCAAAGCCTTGTGACCTTAAAAAATCGAAACGGGTTAGCAAAACTGCCTTAGTATATCCAACGTTCCAGGTTGATCACTTACCAAAATCTGTGGAGGGGTCTAAAGCTAAAGATCCAAAAATTGGTGCACCACATTCATAGGTCCATGAAACAAATATTGTCGGCTGCACGTAGATTAAAAAGCGTGTCAATATTCACTGGAACAAATACTACTAGTAATAGTAAGTGAAAAAGTACTCTGCATTCATGGACAAAGTAGCATGAGCAAGTTGTAAGCCTAACAAAGTAATCTTACAAAAAAAGTGATCTGAAGACTGCACTTGAGCAAATCAAGTCGGAAGAAATATAACATTGAGGACAATCATAGAAAGGGAAAAGCGATACACAACACCACATCTTGTACAATCCGTTCCATAAGATACTACCCAAAAACATAATTTAGTTCACCTTAATCTGAATGGCAATAACAGTTCCTCTGGTTGTGCCAAAATAAACAGTCATGCTACCCTGCACAAACAATAGAAGTTAGTGAGTAATAATTCAAAAGGCCACTTTGATCATGAGATGCAAGTCGGGTATAGAATATTTCAAGTTTGAAACGTTCCAATTCATTGTACCTATCAAGTTCACGAAAATAATGTGACTAATGTTCAAAACCAACATGTGAAGGGTACGAGACAAATCTTACAAAACTACTCTTCACTACACTTCACAAATGATACATGTCACACGACTTGATACGGAATAGTGAAGAACTATTCATCCCACTGAAGTTTCAAGCTAGATTGAACAGGATGCTTCCCAAAAGTAAAGACCTCGTTAAAAGCGGGTGCGCCGAATATGCTTCCTCCACAGTCATGCCGCCAGACGCACATGTGAGAGGCTGGGTCGAGTGCATATATGTGATGATCATGTGATCCGCACCTGCCAAGGTCGAACACATCAACAGAATTTTATTTTAGTCACACCTGTCTGATATATCATAGTTGCCCACTTAAGTTCGTTCTAACATAAGGACAGCGCCTTCTTACAGATCATCTGACCCGAGATAAAGGAACCCCAGTGTCTAGAATGCCTATCAAATAAAACTTTCACAGTAACAGCGTTTATCGTATTTCTCCATGTCGACGAGAACACATATTTCATGAAAAATTGCGTGCGATTTGAACATACCATATTAATCCTGTCCAGGGGTCCAAAGCTGGTTGACATTTCACCTGCCAGCAGGAGTGATGTGTAGATATTATTACTGATACTTGAAGTCGCTGGTAAGATTATGATCATATCCTCAAATAATAAGAACTTTAAATCTACCTATGGCTTTTTTCTGTGATATTAAATTCACGATATACACATCTATATATATATATATATATATATATATATATATATATCCTAGAGAGTATATTTATATGAGTAACTTCATGTCGGAAATATGTAAGATAAAAGAAAAGAGAAAAGAGATAAAAGAAAAGAAGTACACATTTGTCGAATATACCTGTCCACCAGTCTTGAAGTCCCACAGTTTCTGACCATTCCAAAAATCAAGGAAGTAAATAAATCCATCATAGCAACCAACCACCACCTGCAGGATAATACAAGTACAAATTCTCAGCATGCAGTACAAAGATACGCCCTGCTTGTTATGTCCATCTTAAAGCATAACTATTAGCGGTAGTACAACGCATGAAGGTTGAGGCGGTACTTGAGATAAGTCACGAGTTACAGCAGCGCTGGATTCAACACGCCCTCCCAAAGTGGCCTCCCACTGGAGTTTACCGCTGTCGCAAAAGTCATCACATCAATTGCAACTAATATAAGGATAGATGCTGAAACTATATAGCACCAGAAGCGCTTTTCGAATTCATTCAGTACTAAACCTAGCTCTATTGAAAACTGCCAGGAGCGTCCAAATTGTACCTAGAGTTACTACAGAACATCTTCAATTCAGGCTGGACAGTGAAAAGTAAGTGCCTTAAAAACGGATGAACAAACCTGGTAGCATCAAGACTGTAGAAGCTGTGAGAATGGGAACCGATGAAAACTCGAAAAACCTCACCATGAAATACCACTAAAGGTGAAGCATCTACACAAGCTTGTAAGGAGACTCTCCAACACGAATGCATACTCCTCTCCACCTTTGTAGTTTGGCTGTGTACCGTCAGTGTCGGTTCAACTGTAGATTTCATTGCCTTGACCAATGCACGTAGATTGACAGTTCTATTACAACGCGAAAAACTCAAAGATAAACGAATCTGATTAGAGGAATTCCATGTCCAACAATCTTCCTTCGTGGCCTTTTCTGACTCAAAAATGGCTTCATCGAGCTTCCTCTTTCTTGACAACAAGCTTTGATCCAGAGACTCACAGATTATGCCTTGGACGTTTACATTTCTAGGAAATTCATGATCATCAACATATTTTAGTACAGGAAGTACTGGGTCTTTTGTATTTGAGATTCTACTAACATTCTCAGTGTTGGTCAATACAGACGATTGATAGGATCGTCCCTGAGTTTGAGTAGATACAATATCACCCAGTGTGATCTCCTTTGTGTCTTCAATAGCATTATGAAGAAGAATGGCTGATGGATACATATACAAAAGATGCATGTCTATATTAAGAAGGTACGCAACATGAGCTGCTGATATAGATGTTCCACCTGCTGAGAAGAAATCGTCAGTATCTGAGAGCTTCTCTGCCTTCAGCACACTAGTAAACACCTGCATGACAGCGGATGCAATAGAGTCAACACTAATTATATATATATATATATATATATATATATATAAGGAGAGAGAGAGAGAGAGAGAGAGAGAGAGAGAGAGAGAGAGAGAGCATACTTCAATACTGACAACCTGAAGATCCTCACCTGTCGAATATGTTCAATTCCTAGTGACTCCGTTTGTTCTGCTGACTTGCTGTTCCGTTTGGCATCTTCAACAGAACTTCCGATCAAGTCAGGAAGTGAATCATAATCTACTTTGCCCGAATTGGTCAATGGAAGGGATACTAGTGGAATAAAAATCTGAGGGATCATAACAGAAGGCAGTTTTTCTGCCAGCCAAAGCTTCAACTCATGACTCAAATTCGAAGTGATCTCTTCATAAATAAGCCTATGGTTCAGCATGTCATGATCTTTGTCTAACAAGCTTGTCATTGCCCGATCGTAAACCACATAAGCCACTAGGTCCATGTCACTCTCAAGACGAGTGTGAAGAGTGACCACACAACGACTCACTTTAGGATGCATCTCTATGTAGCCTTCGATTTCTTCCAATGATATCCTATTCCCACGAATCTTAACTTGCCGGTCTATTCTTCCAAGTAACACTACGTTACCATCAGGTAATTTCTTTACTACGTCCCCAGTTCTAAATATGCGTTCACCAAATGAGGTCCAAGGCGGTAATCTCGAAATCCCAGACGCATCAGAGCCTCTGAACTTGGACCTTTGAGATTGTAATACTTTGGGTTGCATAAGCTGTTTGATATGCCTCAGAAATAGCGTGCGATCAGATTCATCATTTTGACTCGAAAGATCTATGAACTTTTCCCTTGTGCTCTCATTGTCATTCAAGTAAGATTGTGCTACTCCCACACCTCCAACCCAGAGCTCACCTTCTTCATTAACACCTCCTAACTTTTCACCGTCCACGACAATAAAGTGGTAACAACCGTTGATAGGGTCTCCAATGGGGGTAGTGCTCAGCCTGGAGTCCTCTAGAAGCTGAATACTAGTCGATGAAGCATCCCATAAACTGGTGCAATCAAAACATGAAGAGTCACCTGACACCTGTACCCTCCCACAGACCCGTAGATCAATAATCAGTATTGGAGGTCATAACACTATGACATGTTTCAGAATGATAAGCAAACAGTAACAATGGCTAATTGGATCTAGGATTTTACGAATAAAATTGAATAAGCTTTTACAACATAATCTACAAAATCAACAATATTCTTCCCTCAATATTTATTATCTGCAGTCCAAGCTCAAATAACCTCAACGCAAGGCTGCCCCACCTCAGTACTACCATAAAGGTTCAATATAGTGGTGTTCTCCAACACACAGTGGAGTTCTTGTTGTAGCTTTAATGATAGCGACTCTCCACTAAGACTAAGGATACGCAACGAATCTGCTGCATTCCGACACGTAGATTTTAATGCTGGAAGCAACGCTCGAAAAATTGAAGGAACAGCAGTTAGTCGCGTAATTTTATAAGTCTGCATTCAATAAAGGGAAACTTTCTCGTTAAAAACCACTAAATGTTGCAAACAAATACTAAAATAGGAAGAAGCATGGCCAATACAGTCTTATATAGGATGTAAAGTTACACACAGTTCAGTTTCAACCTACCTGAATATAATTCAACAGGATAAGCAAATTTTCTTTAAGGATCTCCGGAGAAGGTATAATAATAGGGATTCCGGCAAGCAGGGGACCAAGTGCTTCTGTGAGATGATCCACGAATCCAACCGATGTTTTAAAGCATCCCACATCGGTATTCACATGCGGGTATGCAGACTCCATCCAAGAAAGCCTGTTGATCAATCCTACGCACCATAGGTACATTAACTCGCTACACAATCCATATGCACATAAGACAGAGCAATAAAGATTTGAATTAAAAGACTTACATATACCCACGTCATAAGGCATCAGAGGCCTTAAATTTGAAGATATCTACTTAAGTAATACCTTCTTCTGTTCCACAAACTCCCTTGGGAGTCCCCGACGACCCAGAAGTATGAAGGATGTAGCAAAAGTTTGTCTGTCTGGTCGCACAAACACGTTCAACCTCGTACAAAGTTTCCCTCGCCGCCGTCTTCACAAATCCTTCTGGTATCCACATTAATTGACAATTAGCTGCCTCCAACGCGCTTATCTTTGCTTGCAAAGAGTTCTGTGAAGATAAGAAAGTGTGTCTGCAACCAAGAAGTATCGCAGGCTTTGCACTCTGCAGCACAGCTTGAACCCTACTGACTGGCCAAGATGGATCCATGGGCATGAAGACACCACCCACTTTAAGAACTGCAAATACCGAAACCAGATACTCTACTGACTGTGCTATCCAGATGCCCACCACTCTTCTAGGCAAGTGCAGCTTCACAGGACCTTTTAAATTATGTGTGAATTTTATGGACGTGGGATCCACTTTCTCTTGCAGCAGATCCATATCATTAGCCGCATTGCTCTTAAAGTCCTCATTCAAATCCTCCTTACCATTACTTGATGAGGAGGTGTCAAGTGAGCTTACATCATGCTTCCCTACCACATTTAAAACAATCAGAAAATTCATAAACAAGGTTAGATCCCTTCTCCGTGCATCTGAAGAATTAAGTCGTGGATGTAAATGGACCGTTAAAAAACGCCACTTACGTCAAGGGCACTAAACGCTCGCTATACCCAGAAGTTATGCCTAACCCGAGTGCTAAACATGCAAATTGCAGGATACCATGATCATAAGATGCAAGTATTGTTTGCTACATGAGATAAGCGTTATATTTGAATTCCTTTCATCTTTCAAAAATAGAATATACTCAAGTATTATCTCAACCTTGATCGTCTTCTACCAGCAATAAATGATATAAAACAGTGTCACTTTCGAACTTTCAATTACAAAGAGTTCAATTCTACCCGCGCTTGCACTGATGCAAGCCTGCGTCAGCTGATAGGAACGCGATAATAATTCCACCACTTGGTATTCTACTAATTAGAACACCTGAAACTAAGATCATAAATTCTTCGCACACAAAAAGACATTAATCATTATTGCATTCAGCAAACTGGCTCTCCACAATCGACTGGTTAAATGCCGTTCAAATGAGGGAGACATTCTAAAGCTTCAACAGCTATATCGGAGATGCCGTCTTGTCGAGCACCCAGACCTTTGCATACAGAACCTAAGAGAAAAGCCCACAACTGGACTCTAGCAAAATTCTATGACCTACCTGCAGTGTACCCAACCGATCCTTCTTCCTCTTTGCCGAGTACAACCGTCAGGAGGCGCGCAAGTGATACAACAGCTCCTTGTAGCTCTTCAAACGAATACGGGATATCCTCGGAGTGAACAAGTAACTCGTTTGTGTTAGCAACAATCGTCTTTGAGATGTCTTGCAATCCTTTCGCACCGGAACATACACCATCTTCATGTGCAGCTAAAGCATCTACACACGTGCCATTTTTCAACCGAGAATGCAACGACTCCTCACTATGGTGAACGGAAATTGCAGGTGAGGCATGGACGACGGCAATTTTTTGGGGGTTAAGTGCAGCTACTCTTTCAAATGTGTGCACGATACAGCAAGGACTATCCAAAAGAGGGGGGATCGGAGCCTCCTCCATCATACACAAACTTATGACCCATGTAAACCCATATTCAATCATAGGCTCTTATACCCTTGCACTAGCCTCAGGCAATACTCCCTAAATCTCTCAATGATCTGCAAATTATTACCACCACCAGGTGATGATCACAAGGGTGCCCAATTTGCTGTCCCGTCATGCAAAGCTAACAAACACTCACTTTCGAAATTCTATTCTCCGTAGCACAGAGGAATCACAAACCAATCGACCATAAAATCTTTTTGCAAATCCAGGGCGTTCGTCTTCATACTCGAAGGGCTTCAGGACGCAATGTGGCTGCTGTAAAACCAATCTGTCAAGAAAACAAGACGATCTCATTTCAGCACCTAGGTTAGACCAAGAGACGCGAGACTTTTGTTTTTTCCTTGAGAACTTAAAGACAAAAAGAATGATCGGGGGAATTGGTGCCCAAACTTGTGCCCTGTGTGAGACCTAGTTAAAAGTAGACGTGCTGGTGAAATCACTCGTTCCGGAAGAGACCCAATTCTAGACAGGTATGCACCGAATCCTCGACCTCCTCTAGGCTTACGAGACTCATCACAGTAGAAGCTCATCACAGGGTTCGTACCTATATGTGCATCAAGCATCTAAGAACTGGGTCAGATCATTGAAAGCTGAGAGATGGTTATTAGGGTAAAAACAGTGAAGATGATGAAGCTAGCAAATTACATCCAGATCGCGTGAAAGTCAGAGCAATTATTCAGGTTTTTGTGGGTTTTCTATAATTTGTTCTCTGAGACTTGGAACGGTAATAACATAAATACATTCGAAGTAGAATGTTGAAATGAACAAAACACAAGATTGTCCCATAATAGTTGAGTTTGGTATGATGTGGGAAACTAGTAAGATTGTTTTTGTAACCAAGTTGTTGAAAGTGATCTGACCAAACTATATCTAAAAATGATGTGGGGGATCTGAAAATGTTCAAACCAAAGTTCTACATCCAATTTCCCCATAGTGGTTTCATCGTTCACCCATCAGGTGAGGTGTTGGGAAATAACTCAAACGGAAAAAAAATATATATATATATATATATATACAAACAAACAAAAAAAAATAAAACATGACCCGCGCATGCTAGCAGTGACGGAGAACACAATTGATTACCTCTGCTTTTCATTTCTCTTTCAGACAGCTTCACAAAAGATAGCAAAACCCACCAAATTACAATGATTACTTTCATTCGCTCGTTTTCTGTACTCAATTTAAGTTTGCCGCGTAAGGAGATGGAATTAAATATATTGAGAGAGGGTAACGTATATGCAAGTGGCATCTTTTGCGTCCACACCGTTCACAATCCACGATCGGTGTAAAGTACATTCTGATAAACCTTGCAAGTTAGAAAGCCTTACTAGTCAGTACATCTTGTTAGTTCATCGAGAAATCAGTCTGAGATTATTGCCTCAACTACATTGGTTTGGATAGCTCACAACTACTCGTAGTGCCAAGGGAAACCCAAGCTTAATCTTAGATACAACCAGGTGATCTTCTGCTAATATAGGTGGACAACCACATGAATTAATTCAGTTCACCAAGTACACGCGAGTGAATGTTTATGTAAAACCAAAGAATTTCAACACGCCTGACAGGAGATCACAGGAGAACTTCACAGATAAAAAGCTAATCGATGATAAGCACCCCCTGTTTCAAGTGCACAAGTGCTACAAATCAAGAAAATAATAGGCTTGAGAACAATGCAGCTCAAGCAAAGCATGTGGGTTGACACTTGACAAATCGCAAGCCATCTTGACAAATCCTATAACTGCGACCTGAAACTGGTTACGTAGCAGTAAGTCCAGATGCGCTTTAAGTGAATGATAGATAACACAATTAAGCTGAATTAAAAGGATGAGCTACATCTGATTAAACACACATAGAGACCTTACCAGAGCACATTATTACCATGATTAACAATGTTATGCTCAAATTAACAGATTTCCAAATAAGCTCACCCTACGCTAAATTAGCTCTGGTAAAAATATCTGGTGATTGCACTGTCCCTGTGCTCAACTTCCTATATGAAGCCTAACATTACAAGCCCCTAAAAATTTATCAAAATTTGCATCACAGGTTCAAGAACCAACCGCCTGCATATAACAGCTCACAAATGATGCTGGATATCCAGCAATTCTACTAATTCCCAACTGTCTCACTGCATAACAACATTTCGTGTCCTCGTTCAAGGACTACAGACTTAAGAAGCCATGAACCTCGAACTCGCATACAGCATCCCAAGAATGCTAATGATCATCTTGGTGTGCAGCGGAATTCAGACAAGTGCGCAGACTGAAATGAAAAGTATGCAGAGGGTAGTGCACCAATTAAAAAACACTCAAGCATCTTCATAATCACCAGCATGCTCCAATAAATAGTTAGCCGCCAATTGCTCATTCTTGTCACATGCCAAGAAGGCCTCAATAACCAGAGTTCTCTCGAATCCCATACCTTCCAACTGTACAACACGAGCAAATTACATACTGTTTCAGTTGATTTAGAAAAAACCCTTAAAACTACAATACACCAATATTATAACAAACGGCAGTTAACTTTTCCAAAATCATTTCTACGGGAACCGGAGAGAAATTTATGAAAGAAAAAAAAAAGAAAAAAAAAAGAAAAAAAGATTCCGGTGTTCTTAATAGCATACTTACCCGATCAATAGCTTCCCTCTCCTCGGGTGTGACATTTATAGATTGTGGCATGGCTCCAGCTAGTTGTCCTAGGATATCCCTATATTTATAACAATCACTACTTAGAAAACAAGAAACCAGCAACCCAGAGTTCATTCATTTCATAAATATTACAAAAGTTTCAATCCAGTATCCAGTACACGGACATAGAAAGTACCACACAAGCTCAGTATCTAACCTTACACCTAAGGTAGAATCCCTGATAAATTAAAACGACAGCTGTCTATAGCAATAACTTAGCCTAAGATAAGACAAAGTTACTGATACAAATATATACCTCATGGAGGTGGCCACAAATGTACATGTCATAACAAATTCAAGCACGATAATCTGTCAACTCACCCTTCAGCACCTTCGGCACCAGCTTCATTGATTAGACGCAAGAATTCCGCTTGATTGTCATTGATAAGACGCAGAAGAGCAGGATTCTGCTTGCCCAACTCCTGCAGCATGGGCTTCGTTCCAAAGCAACAATAACATCCAGTTTATCATTCACGGACTAATAATACTAAACAGAATTCCCTTAATAAGTAATCAAATGTGTGGTGTGCATGATTAGAAGTTGCAATACCTGAAGAATCTGAGGATTTGCTTGAACCATTGTCCTCAAGGCTTGAAACTGCCAAGTCACAGATAACCGACATCAGCGACTTCATCAAAGCCAATGTAGCTATAAGCAATAATACAGAACTTGTTCTCATTCTTTTCAAATGAAACATCTTGTTTTCATCAAAGCTCAAGAAGATGACATGCCTGTGGGTTATTTCTTAAGAAGTCCAAAGCTCCGGCACCACCTCCTCCAGCCATGCCAGGCATACCCTACAAAATTCACAAAAGGTAACACAATTATAAGTATCCAAATATTTTGGAAGCTTGTGCTCAAAAATCCAAAGAGGAAGCAAATTAGACGCCACGTTCGAAGTTTGAGCATAAATTTCTCGATTATAATGTAGAAAGGGTTCTGAAACTGACTCAAGAAATATCTTCTAATATTCACAATATTGACAACCCTTAATGTAAGGTGTGATGTATTCGGCCCCCTCATCACAACCATGTGTTGAATTATGAACAAAAAACTTCGCTAACCCTCCGTGCCCTTCATCTGTAATTTGTGAGCTGAGGGAAGGAGTTGTGCGATGAGTGGACAAAGATCACATGAGATAAATCTGTCCAAACATAATGATTACATTTCGGCAGAAACTGGAGTCAAGCACAAACCTGAGGAAAGAGGTCAAGGGGAGCCGCATTTGGTCCCCCCGCAGGAGCTGCTTGAGCTGGAGCAGCAGGGGTTGCGGCTGGAACTCCTGCTACTGCTGGTGATCGGCCCCCAACAGGTCGCATCTCAGCTGATTCCGGGATACCCTGCATACAAAAGAGGCAGTAGTAAACAGGCAGACAACAAAGGAGCTTAGAAGCAACACTGCACAGCAAACATCAAGCGCACTCTCACTGTAACATGATAAAAATACTCAAACGATGGAAACAATAGCCGGGATAGACGTGACAAGCTAATTTAATACAATATCGTTTACAAAACCTCAAACACAAGAAGATATAACAGACATACTTGAAAAGCTGTCCATTTCTAAATAAGGAAAAAGAAACCTAGAACCGATATATGACTCAATACATCTGAGGTGTGAAGTTACTCGAATATATCATTCAATATCCACAAATTTCGTTTACAGTTACAGAATGATAAGCGTGCACTTACAGAATATAAGTACTCCACAGCTCGCTCGGGATTGTTGAATGCAGCACGTAATGCACGCACTACAGTGTCACGATCCCAGCTACCCCCACCCATATCCATAATCTGTTGTACGGTGGTCTCCAGAACATTCCCAGCAACGAGATTAGAGGCAGCCTGTCCGTAAGTTGAAGCGGGAGCTCTGCATCAATTGAAAAACACCATTAAACCTACAGTATATTTAGTACGGTCATTCTTTACATGACCATCTACACCACATCCGACCCCAATTGAAAACTTCCCTCAAATTTCCCCAATATTCACACAAATGCACGATAAGTCGCTATCTCATACTCAAAACAAACAATTCTTTTTGCTAATTCGAAGCAAAAAGCAGTAACGTTAATAATACACTCGATAACTCTTCTTTAAAGTGTCCTGAAAAAGATGGTCCAAAAGAAGTCCAACAATGCAATCAGTTGTGTGATACATTGAGGAACATACGATAGGCCAGTGGTAGTTGCTGGTGCAGACGTACTGCACGACAAACATTTTAATGAGTGACGGGAGAACACGAGAAGTTTCGGGTGCTACATGGAACCAACAAGGTAACATTCATTCGGGACAATACGATTACTTCATCGAAGGAAACATGTAGCAAAAATGTAATGCTGCACAGCCGAAGCCAATGATGATGCAAAATGACGTCTTACGGAGCAGGTGTGGCCGGGGTCGGAGGTGATGGAGTGGCAGGACTCCGCGCAGGTGCAGGAGGGGTAGCAGCGGCCACGGGAGCAGGTGCCTATTCCAAACATGACCAAATCATATAACTCAATAAAAATCCCTAGCCGACAGTTTTGATGGTCAATTCCTAAGTCATCAAGAGACATAAAATCGATGGTGCACCAATAAGGCGTCCGAAAAGTGTACCTGGGTGGTTCCTGAAGAAGATGGGGGAGAAGCACCAGCCCCAGTTTTCGCCTGCCAACCAAGACAATCTGGTAAGAACAGGAAAAACTTAATAATCCATATCAAACAAACTTAAGACCCAGCTATGACGAACAAATACACAGCTCACATACAAAAAGACCACCTCCGCGTGACGAGGTCGGTTACCTTTGTCAACATGACGACAACAAAGCCGTTCTCCGAAACTTTATTTTCCTCCATAGTGGTTTCATCTTTCAACACCTTGCCTTGATGGATAAGGAGTTGCTGCGAACAAGGAAATGATTCCTTGCCCTGTGAATCTTCTATCTGTCTCTTAACATTCAAGACCTGTACAACCATGAAAGAAAAAAATAAATAAAAAAAATAAAAAACTCAGGCTGACATACGTGAGCGCGATAAATCAAAACACCTACATTACCACCAACTTTTCCGTCACTTGAATACTTAGCTCATGGATAACCAAAAAAAACCCACAGCAAAGAGGATTAAACACAGTGACCGACGGACTCAATGCACATACTACCCACACCAAGAACCCACGACACTCTGCATCGACAAACCGAGCTCAACACAATGCCAAATACTTCAATCTTTAATTACAGCCATCGTCGCTATCAAACCAACCGCAATCCAAACTTGAACGCCTCCATTGAAACCAAAATCAAAACTACGACACACCATCAAACCCTAATAATCCCCAAACAAAAACCACCCCATCTCCCCCTCCCCAACGCACATCATTCAAGAAAAAAACACCCCAATGCAATATGTTACCCCAACCAGAAACCCTAAAATTAACAACATGATACAGAAACGTTCACGCGGATACCAATGATGCCCGTTCAAATTACCAAACCCTACCACGAACGCAAGCAACACCAACTCCAAGACAGGGCAACGATTTACCGTATCCGCGGGACTAACTTCCAGATCGAAATGGTTCCCCTTGAGCGTCTTCACGGAGATCTTCATGACGAAGGAGCAGGTAATTGCCGCACTCTGAGGCGCAGAAAAAGCGAAGCAGAGGAGCAGTGTGAGAAGACAGAGAGGGAGAGGAAGAGGAAGGAAACGCAAAGAGAACAATGGCGTCGCTTCAGGGAGAAACTCCGTGTGCTCGTCTTCTTCCTCCCCCTGCCCCCTGCCCCTGCCCCTACCTCCTGCCCCTCCTGCCCCTCCTGCCCCTCCTGCCCCTCCTGCCCAGACCTCCTGCCCTGCCCAACTCTGCCCGTCATGTCCTGCTTGGGCTTCCATGAGACGCGCTCCCTCCCCCGCCCCTTCTGGGCAGGGCTGGGCTGTTCCGAAGTTCCTTCTAGGTGGTTCGGCACCCCGCTGAATTAGCCTAACCTCACCTTGAGGTGTCGCTCCCTGGATTCGGGTCCCCTTTCACGTCCGCATATTGCATGGAGCTCGGCCCAAGCCTGAACGACATGCAACCTCTGACGCCGTGTGAACGCTGTCCGTTTCGCCTCGGCTTGGATGGAAATTGCCTGGAGCTTGCTGGAATTGTCCTCCGTTCTAAAGAACCCATCGTTCGACATCTTCGAGGATATTAGAGTTAGAATAACAATTTTTGTGGGTGTGAGAGTTGGAATTTTTTTTTAAGGATTTTTAAGGATTTTTTTTATTGTGAAATACATTTCTTTACTTGTATTCTACTTGATAAAGTGGGTGATGGGGGGGGGGGGGTTTAGAACCAGGGAATTCTCTCTATATACATATGTATACACACACAGTCTAATTCTCACTCTCTCTTTCTCTGTCTATATATATATATATATATATATATACATGAATCTAATTCTATATATATATATATATACATACATACAGTCTAATTCTCTCTCTCTATATATATATTTATTTATTATATACACAAATATGAATCTAATTCTATATATATACACAATCTAATTCTTTCTCTCTCTACATATATATACACACATATACATAGTCTAATTCTCTCTCTCTATCTATCTATCTATATATATACACACACAATCTATATTTTATCTCTCTCTCTCTATATATATTTTTTTCTCTCTTTCTCTATATATATACACATGAGTCTAATAATACATATGTACATATATAGTCTCTCTTTCTTTTTTTTCACTCTCTCTTCATATATGTATATATATATATATATACACACACACAGTCTCTTTTTTTCTTTTCTTTTTTTTCTTCTCTCTCTCTATATATAAGTTTAATTCCTTATTTCAAACTTTTAATATGATCCTTCAGTATGTCAAGTAAGAATATGTTGTATCAATAATTTTCACTTGTACATTTTCAATTTTGAATTTAAACAATGAGATAGAAATTACACAAATCAGGTTAAAAAAAATTAAAAAGGAAATAGAAAAAAAAGCATTTATGATGATGGATAAATGAATGAAATAAAAGTGCAAATGCATTGTTTATAAATATTACAAAAGGTCACCTTTTATTACAATTTATTTTTTGACCTAAAAATTATGTTAAGTTTTAAAATATCAAATAATTCATCTATCTTTTGTTTCCGAAGGCTCTACAGTAATCTTTTTAGTTAATATTATTTTTTAAATATAAATAAGTAAATAACACTTCTTTACATAAATCAAGAGTTCTCCATAAATAAACCAACAACTCTTGATTTATGTTGACAGCCATTTGTTGTACAAAGTACAAATGTTTTGAATGGATGGTATTTCCTTTTTTGCATCAGATTGGATGTCTATTAATGAAATTTTCTCGATACAAGTGATAATGCACTAGCTTTTTTGAATACATCGTCCCAAAAAATAGGACCTAAATGACCTTGTGTTTGTATTATTTTCATTCTACATCCTTTGTTGAATATTATTATTTTCCAGGTATTTGAATATCTAACAAAGGAAACATCTGACAAAAAAGATATCTCGGATTACTCCAAGAAAAATTTGCAATCAATTCCAATTCCTCTTTTGATCCACTATTGAAGGATACAAAGTTTAAATATATGACAACAATATACACAACAAAAACACTTTTTCACTTGTCTCTCTTTTTCCAATCTAACAAGTACATACTTCATGCTCACTTTCGCCAAGTTTTTGGAAAAGAAAAATAAAGAAAAATAGATGAAATAAGTGGTACTTCAATACAGGCAATATAACCACATAACTCTCCAAAACTTTTCAAAGACATCATGGTGACTCATGGTAGTGAAAAGGGGTGGGTATTTCTTTTGAAAATTCTCCTTTCTCACTTCATACACACAAAGTGCTGCATGGTATAAGATGTGTTTTGAAACTATTTATTTATTGTTATTACCCGTAATAGTCTTATTATTGTTGTTATTATTACCGTTATTATTTAGGAGTTTCATTTTTCATTTTCTTTTCACATAGCATTTTGAATGAAGTTCACTGTAATTGTCATGTTTGTTGAGCATTCATTATGCATAAGTTGATGCATATAGAATCAAAGATGTATGGAAATTGTTAATACTGGTAGTATATTTGTTGGTATTTGCAATAATTTGGTTCATGATACCTGTAAATAAATAAATAATTAATTATATCCTATGTTATACAAAAACAAATTTATTATAATTCAAAATATTTACACACATCTGTCATGTGACATGTTTAAACAATTTATTGATTTTTCTTCAATTTAATGCAGTTCAATATAGAACACAATCAAAATCGATGCACTAGTGCAATTAGTATGCACTGCTTTATTGCAAGCAAATATATTTTTTTCCATTATTTATTATTTATTTGTGATGACAATTATCTACTGTGTTTGCAAAGAAATGTGTTAAAACGAAACATTGATATTATCCCAATCCACGTGTTTGTTTTGAAAATGTTTTATGCCTGATTTCAGGCAATATAGAATTTAAAAAAAAAACCATAATTGGCACTAAATAAACATAATAAACATAATAAACATTATTTAATTTTGAAATTTGTCACACTGTACAAAAATTATTCATCTCAATGGAACATAACCTAGATTCTGTCGTAGTTCAAATTCAAACAAAAAAACCCCAAAAATCAGAAGCATACAAAACCATTGCCAAACGATTTTTAAAATTAAAGTATTATTGCAAGCTTAAACGAGTCAAGCATTTCGTCCAAACAAATACAAATGTTCAAAAACCAATTTTTTTTTTTTTTTTTTTTTTTTTTTTTAAACGATTATTTGTAACATTATTTTTTGGATTTTTTTGGATGTATATGTTTTTTTTTTTTTCCACCCACATTGGTGTGATACAAATTCATGACGTCCTCCTAAGTTGGGTCAATGCTGATCCTCACCGAAGCACAAACCTATAAACCCATACAAGCAGGAGAAGCCTTTCCTCGCTCATCCACCACGTTCATCCATGTTTTTCGTGCACTATTAACGTCTACATTTATCCAACTCAACACGAAACATTCATCTTATATTTATCATCCACCCATGCGACCATCCATCCATAGCCGCCTCTGCTCGGAGGAGGCTGAGTGAACGAGGAGGCCGGGTCGGGCGAGGTTTGAGTCTTTTTCGTGCTCGTCGTGCAGCAGCAGCAGCAGATTTGCGTCGTCTCGCTTGCATCCACGCCGCTGCAGCAGCCATGAAGACCATCTTGGCCTCGGAAACCATGGACCTCCCTGAGGGGGTCAAGGTTGAAATCAAGGCCAAGCAGGTGCGCGTCTCGGGCCCCCGCGGTGTGCTCACCCGCAACTTCAAGCACTTGAACCTGGATTTCCAGCTTCAAGAGGGCGGCCGCAAGTTGAAGGTCGATGCGTGGTTCGGTAACCGCAAGACCATGGCCGCCATCCGCACTGCCATGAGCCATGTGAACAATCTGATCACTGGCGTGACTAAGGGTTACCGGTACAAGATGAGGTTTGTGTACGCCCATTTTCCCATCAATGCCAGCCTCGGTGGAGCCAAGGAAAGCATCGAGATTAGGAATTTCTTGGGAGAGAAGAAGGTACTACACTGTGCCGTACATTTTTTATCTTCATTGGGTGTTGGTCGAAGGGGTTGAGTTTAGGGTTTTGTTATGAGTTTATTTTAGGGTTTTGCAATGTGTGTTGAGGCCCGCTCATGAAGATCCTCAACTTGATAGAAGTGTGGGAGCCGGTGATAGTCGAGGGAATGTGTATCCTATTATCACACGTCTCCGGCGGCTGTCTGCGTGAGTTGTGCTCTGATATATGCAGATTAGGATTCTGAAGTGCTGTGGTGGGTGGTTTGCGAGTGCAGGTGCGTAGGGTTGAGATGTTGAATGGAGTGACTATCTCGCGGTCCGAGAAGGTGAAGGACGAGCTTGTGCTGGAAGGCAACGACATCGAGCTGGTGTCTAGGTCATGTGCTTTGATCAATCAGGTAGGGTTTAGTTTACTATGGAATTGTTTGCTATGTGTTCTTGTTTTGCATACGGTGGCTGTTCAGGCTTGTTAGCTAAGTTTTGTGAACTAGTGAGTGAGTCTAATTATTTGGTTGGTCCGGTCGTATGGGACATGTGCATGGTGTTGATTGGTGCAGAAATGCCACGTCAAGAAGAAAGATATCAGGAAGTTTTTAGATGGTATCTATGTTAGCGAGAAGGGCACCATCGACGTGGAGTAACTGGAAAATTTTGATTACTTTGTTGACATTTTGATAAATCAAGACTCTCATACAGTATTTTAATAGTGAAAGTCAGTTTTTAACACGGATTCATCTGGGTACGTTCCATCGGTTGTTGTGGTTGTGTTTGTTGTGCCAGAATCTTTGATGGTTTATGAATGCATTACCTGGTGGACGTTGTTTTTGGAGTTCTAAGTTAGATGATGTGATTTGGCTGTTCTTGAACATGTATTTACTGTTCGATCACTATGTATTTCAGTCGCTGTGTCTTTACCCTCAACTCGAGGTTAAGAAGATGCCCGTACCTCTCCCGCATTCTGACTAGTCATACACAATCTTCATCTCAAGTCTTCACAATCAGATAGAAAGTGGTTTTCTAGTTTACACAGCATATCGCCGTATTTATATTGTCGCATTCTAGTTGCCAGAGTTTGTCCGTGGTTATGAATCCCCAGAAAAGTCTTGCGGTACAGCGGCATTTCATAAACAAACGCATAAGTTTGGATCCGTGGTAGAATGCTTCTAAGCCCGTGGCTTTGGACCAGAAGAAATCTGAATTCTATACTCTGTGTGTGACCCCGAGATTAACGAGGGGTTTAGGATATCTAATATAGGGTCTGATTTGTGAAGAACAGCACACGATTAATGCTCATTATAATAGGGTTGTGTATGAAAGGAAGGGTCTGGGGATGAAGAAGTGAAGGTTGCTTCGAAAGATAGAGTAGGAGAACTTAGTCTGAATAGAGTGAATAGGGAACTCGATAATTTACCTAGATATTTGCTGCACACACAGGCGGAATTCACTGAACAAGCTTAACATGTAGTCTCCACATAATTTGTTTCCATTTGCACCCAATGAATTTATTCTTTAATCCCTCATGGGCACATGACACAATGTGTAGATAGAGTCCACCATGGCAATGTGTGACATGCCATGTAGGTCACCAATTCTACATCTGCCACAAACTTAACTTAATTCTCGATGAACAAGGTATGGGGTTTTAATGAAGTAGCTTTACAAAGGTTGCATATTGTTAATATCAATTCTCAAGTCACTTTCATGTAAGCTTAGTTTGTAGAAGATGCCCCTGAGGCTCCAGTCTAAACTACTTCATCGTGTAATTTGAGAGACATTTTTATGATGACATGAGAGTGAGGAGGAAAAGTAGTTCTTGCACTGTCATGTGTGTATGCATGTCCTCACATTAAAAGGAAAAAAGTATTGGTACAACAGAATATAATCTCTGTGACAATTAAATTGATTAAATCAATAAATTTCTGCAAAGAAATTGTAGTCATAGATATTTACTTATTTTCCATTTTTTGTTTCCTGCGTTATTTTATTTCATTATTATTTTTATTTTTGGGAAAGGAGGAGAACCATTTGTTTTATTACATGTTCAAACAATTTATGGGGTGGAACATTTGCTGTAGAGTCTGCTGTGTACAGAGAAGGTTGTGTATTATTTTAAAACAAACCTGCCTCCAATATTGGGTGGTAACAATGGCTTTGATCAACTATGTCTGTTTGACTTGTTTATTGATATTGTACAGTTTTATTATCCTTTTGCTACTTCCATTGTTTTGGTCTTGGCTATTCATCTACTTCCACTTGAGTTAGGTACCAATCAAAGAGGAAATGTTGAATTTTTTTGGACCTCCTTAAGCTTTTTATTTGGATGTGTTTTGGTGTTAAAGTTGAACACCTAATCTAGTGATAGAATCTTGGTGGTCACTAATAAAATTTTGTAGAGGAATAAATGAACCAGAATGAATTTGGAATCATGTTAGAAATTAAGGGCTCTAATGGTAATAAGTCACTGTATGAACAATTTTTTTTCTAATTTTCTCAATACTTGTGAAAATGGACATATAATCTCATTTGAAAAGACACATACAAAATCACTCTATCAGCCACACAAATTGAAATCCAATTTGAAATCAATTAAAATAGACATTTCAAATACTAGACATAAGTGTTTAATTGAAAAAACAACATGACTGACATTTTCATAAGATTATTCAATGATCCATGCTGAAAAGAAAATTATCAATCAAAATTACAAATATTTCTGCAAATTGAAAACATGCAACCATGAATATATCTAGTTACACACCAACATCCAGCCAACTATCAAATAATGGAAAATTTAATTGAACTTGTAGAAGCGGCCTAGGCAATTGCTGAAATCAGAAATGGACCATGAGTTATTTTATTTTATTTTATTGGACTAAATTCCTCATTGCCCTGGCGTCTATGGCGGGGCGGGGCAGGGCAGGAACTTGAGCTGTGGGTTGGGTCTGATCCCATGAGTCAGTGAGCAAAATTGGCCTTCATATGGGTTGTCTCTGGATGGCGATGGCAGCTGCACTGCGCTTGGTACCAATTTGTGGATTCATAGTCCACATTCCTCAACTCCAGTGAACTTCAACTTTCCTTGGATTTTAAGTTTCACAAATTCTCTGATAGAAGGGCTGGGACTTGGACTTGGACTTGGAACCAGGGAAAGGCCTCGTCCTGTTGCGGATAACTCTGATGTCCCTGAGCTACTTTCATCGCGGTGCGAGCTCATGGGGTGCTTCTTCCTGGCAAATTTTGGAACTGTCGCGCGGACAATAGAATGTCTATTCAACCTTTTTGATTTCCTTCTTAATGTTTTCGTATGGATATTCAGATGAAGAAAACCAAAGGCCTGTGAGAAGAGTGATATGACATAAACATAACACTACTGATGACAACGGTGTTGACGGATACACGTTCCAGCAGAATTCCACCCCAACAAATATTGCCAGTCTGTACACCAAAGTCAGAATAGGTCAAAAAGTACTAATGTCCTAGACACCAGTTCATGAATGTACACACTTGCGTTCTCCTGCCCATGGTTATAACGATAAAGGATAAACACAGCAACATTTAAACAGATGAAAAATTAGAATGGTTTGAAATTTTCTATCTCCATTACGAGTCGAAATCGAGGGAACGCACCGGAAAGGAGTGGGAAATTTTGTTTTCCATAGCAAAAATGGTATACTAAAGAAATACCTGCTCAAACAGTTGCTAGTGTTAGTTGGAAAAGAAGACTATGATAAATCGAACACAACCAGCACAGATACACCAAAGGAGAAAGAAATGTTTCGAACACAGTTTACCATGAGTAGAACTGGTAATGCAATGACCGTGCAAAGACAATGCCGATGAAATTCCCACTGAAGAGTACAGTGACGATATCTAAAAGCAGATTTATCAAAGAAAAACAAGGATGCGAATGATAGTTCTTGTAGATGAAACACATAAAAACTATCCAAGATACCACATAATAAACAAAATTTAACCAAATATATGGACTGGATACGGTTGTCTGAAAGCGGCCTTGAAATCCTGAAAAACCTCTTAAAAATAGTGATGCCTGACTCCCTGTTATGTTCCTTCACTTCTTTAAGGCCAGACGCTTGTAAAACACCTCCCTCATGTCTGCCCAGCGAAAAGAGACTAAAATATTAACTCTTGGACCACCCATTAAATGCATTAAAAACGAAATGAATCGCCTACAAAAGTCACACTAAAAATGCAATGAACAAAAATACGACCAAGATCTTTACCTACACCACTTGTATTGAGCAAATAAGTACAGAAAGGCGAGATGAAGTATCAAGAGCGACAGCGCAAATGGTTTGGAAATAAAAACGTCCTCTGGAAAAAACTTGAAGTTCACTGACCTGCCAATCATGTTACATGTTTAACGGCAGTCAAAAGGTTAATTTACTTGCATATAAAATAGTGAGAGCGATTCCACATTAAAAACAAGGATAAAAAATAAAATAAAGTGCAGAATCTCTGTCTTGTAGTAAGACTGATAATAATGAGGGGCGGTGAGAAAAATGTCATACCAGAAGTGGATGAAGACTCGACCAAGGTTGAAAGCTCTAGAGAGATATTCAACGGGGTATGTTAGGAGGAAAGGCATGCCCACTAAGACCTGCAAGGAGAGATCTTGGAGTCAATATATGGAATGGCAATCTTTGTTGCACTGTATTACATGTTATTACACTGCTGGTGAGAACAAACTATCACCTTGGATCAAAATATGCAAACTGACTAGTGACAACATTTCAGTAGCACAATTCAAGAACATTAAATTTTGCCAAATTATTCTTTAAAACTTTTCTCAAGAATTTAAGAATCTAGACAAGCATCCAACATATCATCAGGAAGTGCATAATAGACAACCCACTTCATACATTTTGGTTGGAACAGAAACTCGTGTATTGAATAGACAACCTGAAATAATGCGGCACATGCAAGTGATGTCAACACACCTGGAATAGTAAGGCTCTGCAAACACGACATCAAAATTATTTTGTACTCAGGGAATATTGAACTCCAACATTGGGATTAAAAGGTGAAATATTGAAGCTACAATTGAAGCTTGCTATACAACGAATTTGATTTGGCAAAAGTCTATTCATACGATGAAGGAGGAAAAAGTTATGAGATGCTCACCTTCAACAACAGGAGCAGCAAAGGCGGTGCAAATAGCAACACATTCATTTTCACGGACACCGCAGCACTGGATGGCATATAATGACGTCATTTGTTAGTTACATAGTATTTGAATGGCAAAGATTGAAGTCTGTACGTACGAATATTCCTACCCTCTAAAAGAATGCCTAGTAAATTTACTTCGAAGATGTGATTAGTTTCGAACCTGAAAACTGAGAGAGCAAGGTGCCAATGTTGCTGTAGCATGAGTGCTATAGATGCATGTGTTAAAGTAGTGGCAACACAGTCGTTGAAGAGGCGGAGAACAAATATTGAATGAACTCTCTTTGAGAGACAGAGCAATGAGAGTGCCCACCATGGTACCTGTTGTGGGGACCAGTTTCACATATAGCTGAAAGATGTGGCGTACCAAACGCTACATGAATAAGTCAAGCTTCAAAATTCAACCTTGATAAACGCACATCACCTAGTCATGTATATTAGATAGGGTTGAATACGTACCACTTGAACCCTGATATAGATCCAAAGAACAAGGCCGAGGTTTACGACATATAGCACCCCAAAAACTATCTGTAAATGAAACATACCAGAAGAAACTTCAGATAAGAAAACAGATGATGCACGTGCCATAAGTCTTATCATTAATTGATAGACGGGTGAAAAGTGGCGAAAATTAACTTGGGATATCATCATTGCTACGGCCGCGACTCATCAACTTCATCAATTTTGGAGAAGGAACGACGACGAATTGACCGACCTGTGCTGGAAAGACGGCACCACCAGTGATACGCTTGATGGCTGCATATATATACAAGAAACCTGCAGGGTACACTAATGGCCCTGTGTCGCCATGAAGCTCAGCATAATTTCTTTCACCGGCCAGGAATCCTGTTACCTGAGCCAGCGATGTCAGCTTGTGAAATTAAAAACATTCATAAGCCTAGCATACACCAAGTTCATACACAACAAGGGGATGAGTGAATGCCAGATAATTATAAAAGTAGCATTTATGGTTTTTCTCCGACTTAGCAAGTACATATACTGCCTCAAATCACTGTTAAAAGCATGTAGGACAGGGTCTCGATGCAAGACATACCTGTGACATGTAGGCATCCCAATCAATCTTCGTGTCTAAAGTCACAAGAATCATACACGAAAATACAAAGCACAAGTTCAGATCAACGTCATAAGACACGAACCAGCATCAAAAACTACTTCCTCTACACTTGCAATAACAATTTAAATTCATAAAGGATAAATTCGCTTCGATTAAAGTCGACAAGCAACAACCCATGGTTCCTTAAGTTCTTGTCGGAAGAACCAAAATCACGTAATCAAAGAAAAAGATTCTCCACATGCATGCAAATTTTACTGATACAAATTCCTTCAAATTTCCAATTTTCCTCACAACAATCCTAGCCAGTGTAACCTAAGTGTAAGCGCTTGGGATCAGTCATCATACAAACGACGTAAAACAAAATAAGAGGGAAGAAGACAAACAGCTCAGAAATGACATCGCAAGTATAATATGAATGCGGGGTATTCTACTTTGCGCGGACAACAGGCAAGGAATGAAAGAGCATAGAATTACAAGGAACGCGAGCGATGATGACTGCCGTGAGAAGCGCATCGAGGACAAGCAACCCGCACGCAGCCGGGACGAGACGAGATCGGGCGAGTGAAGAAGACGCAGGAGGCGCGCTGATCACTTCTTCACCCGTCACGGGCCCCGCCATCGCCATCGCTGATGTTGCTACAAACACTGAAAGCAAGCTCCTCTCTCTATCGACAGAAGCCGCTGCGTCGACAGCAAACAGAGCGACACTGACCCAACTGCGTGTAAGACCTCGCGCATGACGGCGTGCAATACTGCGCGTGGGACTGTGATTGGAACTGTACAATTTATGCTAAACCGCGTGTAAGATGCCGCGTAGAATGGCGCCCAGAACTGTGTTTAAAACTGCTCAGACCCCTTTTTCTTCCCTCAAGGGTTCTTTAATTTAATGTAACCTACCAGGATGTCTGTCAAGTATTCTTGGACCTGCTGCGTGTTTGTGCTGGATTCGATCGATTGCATCCTTGATTTTGACAGGTCTGTTGATATTTCCGAGTTTAGAATTGAGTGTTGAGGATCGTGGAGTGAAAACCAATGGAGATGAATGCGCAAGCGCATGGCGAGTCTCGGCAGTCGCAACAAAGTGCATCTGAGGTATGCTTGTAATGTGATTTGGAGTCCTCCTTGAGTTTACCGTATGGCAGCTGTGGCGTCGTCCTCATGGCACGTGCGTGGTAGACTGAATGAGGTTGGAAATGTTAAATGCTTAGGAATGTTGAGAGACATGTTGAGCTGAATGGCGGCCAGTACGCCAGGGTGAATGTGATGGAAGAGTGGGTGTAGGGATTTTGTGAGCGTGAATTTTTCGCTATTGTTCGTACGGGCGTGTGATGGATTCGTCTTCCCACTCGCCACTTTTGTATTGTTTTGTTTTTTTTGCAACTATTGAACTTCCATTCGTGCAGTCTGTATTGTACAAGTTCTAACAGATTTCTCTTACCGTTTTTTTAGGATTCATCATCAGTTCTGAGACAGGTAGAATCATGTGCGGCTTCTAATCTTTCATCTCATGAATCTGTGCCCAAGCCAGGTTCTCAACAGGCAAGTAGAGACAAGTTCCTGTCATGGAGTTAGTATTGTGTGGAGCTTTTGTTCGGCTTCCAGTGATAAGGATCTGGTTGGTCCTTGCGAATTTTTAGTTTTCAAGGACTATATTCCAACAAGGTTTACATATCTTAACCTCACGCGGTGACTGTGACTCTGTCTGATGCAGCTGCTGGTCGAGTTTCTGAAGGTGCAGGAGCGTCGGGCTGGACTTTACTCGACACTTCAGGCGTAAGTCTCTGAAGTAGAGGAGCCGCCTGCATGTTTAGAAGCTGGTGGAAATATCGTGTCAATGTTCTATTCAAACTCATGACAGACGTGAGGTGTGCTTGATTCATGAGCGAGTGGTATGTCTGATATGCATTAGTTTGCAGCATTTGTAGAGTTTAGACCTAGATGTAGGTATTTCAAATTTCTGCCAACCAGTTCTCTCAATGCAACTTGATAGCCATGTGAGTTTTATTGCAAATTCATATTACTAGCTCACTCAAAATGCAAGTAAATTAAATATTCTAATAGAAGACAGAATGGAAACCAGAAGTATGTCGGCGTGGCCATTGTATGCTGCTGACTCTTTGGTCCCTCTAACTTCTGCCTGAAATGAGTTTTTAAGGACGTTTTTGTTGAGTTCGCAGTGGGTTTGCGGACTATCTGAAATCGGGATCGGAGCTTTCCTTTCAGCAACTATGTGGCAGGATCACCACGGATTTTAATGATTGCTCGAGACAGGTCTGAGAATAAAATATGTAAGGTTAGAGTGCAGTGATTATGCGATTTGTAGAGATTGGAAGCCCACATAAGTAGGACAACTTATATGACAGGCATACCGGCACTTAGTTTTTAGGTCATACTGTTATTATCCAATTAGTCTACGTAGTGACATGTGTCGTTTGCAACACTGAGCTATTGATATTTATAGTCAAGGGGCTAACTTCCAGACTTTCTACTGGGCTTTGTGTCCAAATGGTTTATTGCCTTCAAAGTTGGGCCGGGTGGCATTTGCATTTTTTAGCTGACCTACTGTTTTCCTAAACTTTTGAGGCTGAGATTTATACGTTACACTTGTTGTTACTAGGACTGTGATTGAACATTCTAAACAACCTTTTATCTGGGTCTTTCTGACTTTATGATTTTCGTCTTGTTATCACTAAACTCAGGTGATTGATATTCAAGCAGCATTGCGAGGACCCGAAATTGCGAGGCAAGATCTCGCAGATATACTTCAAGATGTGCAGGCTCAAGAGAAACAGAATTTGAAGATGGTAAGTCCCTGAAATGCATGCGAAATCGAACAGTATCTCATACAACACATTCGATTACAAGTCGTAATGTCTTTGAGGTTCAGATTTCTCTTCCTGATAATTTGTTTTTTACGAAATGAGCTCCTTTTGACCCTCAATTGTGTTAAACCCAGACTGCTACACTTCAACTTTTGCGGAAAGCTGGAAGGCCATCAGATCGTGCACAGGCACACGCAGGTAAGAAAGTCCAGCATCATCTGTGTTCTCACGGCCACGAGGAAGAGAGTGCTTTGGAACTTGCTGAATCAGATGCCGAATATGATGCAGCCTACAAGGAAGCCACACAGGCTTTACAAGAAGCAAGAACAACAATACACGAATATATGGAGGAGGTTCGATATGAGCTTGCATCTAATAGTATGGCTTAGTGTTATTTTTAACAATCCCTACTTGTCAATTTTGTAGTTTCAGTTCATTATGATCTCTTCTCCACCACGCATGACGCCCACATTGTGGTGTATTGTGTGATCATAATTCCAATAGTTCGTATCCGTGGGTACGATTTAAGCATCATGTTCTTTGAATCCTGGAGTGTAGAACAACCTAATGATGGAGGTTAATGGAAGCCGTGCATTTGTGTCGGAATTGCGTTTTATTTTTCACAAATCACTCTGCTGAAGGCAGCTATATGTAATGTTGCTCACAACAAACAGATTATTCATCAATCATGATCGGATTTTCCTAGTGCTTCCAGATAGGTGTGTCAATTGTGCATCTGATATTCACGCAAGTCGGTCCTTTCCTAGCTCATGTCTTCAAATTTCTTTGTGGCACTTCTGTGATGTTCACTGAACGTATCTTTTTGAAATTAACTTTTATAATTCAGCCTTTCTAATCATCAAGGGACTGTTGAGTGTTACAGAGAAATTTCTGACTGTTTGTCAAATCATTATTGGACAATACCCATATATTGATCGTGGGGTGGTCGGCACATCGAACACTCCCACTGCCCTTCTTTTATTGTCTCGAGTGGTCAGCATTTTACTCATTAGTTCAATGAGGTAGCTATCTTTCAATTGGTAATGGTTTAAATTTATGTATGGGGCGAAGTTGCATTTTAGCAGCTATGCAATCTACGATTATTTTCTGTAGTTGAATTTTGGTAATGATTGTCCCTTCAGGAAGCACTTGAATAGTTTCAACGCCCGACCAGGTTGGTAAGTAGGAACTTCGTGGCCTGCCTCCCTGACGGTAGCAAATGTCAAGTTTTCATAAATCTGGGACCAGCCTCCGACCTGAGGTCCATCAGAATGTAAACGACTACGTTAATGACGCCATTATGCTGAAAATTAAATGGACAATCAACAGACAAAGACGTTTAGAACAAGAGTGCATTTGCATGTGGATTTGGACTGCCCCTAATAAGGAGAAGCTGAGGAGAATCTCTCTGCCAGTTGTTCCCCCAACCCTGAAATTTTTATCCCGTTACCCTCTGTTTTGAAGAAGCTCCAGCCCACATGCAAATGGGTTGTGAGGAGTGATGTAAGGATGTAACAGTTAACTCTTATGAAGCTATTCCTGAGTTCCACTTGGAGGGCGAGAGTTAAAAGCTATGGAGAGCTGTGTTTAGAAGATGCTCTGCACGCTGGTATTACCTGACTGGAGTAGTTCCAAGGGTACCAAGCCGTCTGTACAGGGAGATTCAGTTTCTTAAGCCAGTAGCGAGTCCCAGTCGTTGGTACCACCCCGTCCGTATCGCCGCTGCAATCACGAAGGTTTCAGGTAAAGAACCTTCGCCAGAGATCCATGGATTCAAAAAATTCTGCAGTTTGCAGATAACTAACGAATTCAAAGTATGCATCACGAATCAGGGGTTTATATATGTCGTCCCTGTGTACCTGTATACCCAGATCCGAATGCCCTTAGTTAGAAGCTCCCGGTAGAGGGGTAGTATAGATCTGGTGTAGTCCGGAATGGTGTAGTTTGCTCCAACTACTCGGCTGCAGCAGAGAACGAGATTCATACTACTCAACTTATGGGAAACTAAGGAGAATAGAGTCAATGGATTGATGGTTATATCCAACCATATTTTGATAATCAAAGAGGTCAACGGCAGCCCTAAATTTCTTTCTTAAGCGTACCTACAGAACCAGGACTAGTTGTGACAGGATTACCTGCATTGCGTCCAGTTGATATCATCTCTAGCATGTAAGGCAACCTTTACTTCAGGGAGATTCAGGTATGGTGTTACATTATCTGGTGCACATGGATTCACTCCTGCCAATTGAACCATGCCCATTCTCTGTAGAACCCCACTTGTTAGATGCCAATGCAGTTTCTTGTAACGTAATTGTCGTGACGTTACATTCTCTGCTCATTTAACTACGTTTTGAATGCTATCTCTAACTACAGAATTTTGAGTTGCTTCCTAACTTGACCTTAACAAAGCATTAGATTGAAGTCATTGCAGAAATAGAAGTGGCAAAAAGGTCATCCATATTCAAGATGAGAGTTAAACGGCACCTTTACGAATTGGGGACGGCCTGATTTGGCAGGTGGGTTACAATGTGGACCGTAAATGTTGTAAATGTTGATCTCTCTCATGACCACGTCGAGGGCATAACTAGAAGTATTCAAACATGTCGCATTGTGGAGAGAATAGTCAACTGGAAGGTCGAATGCAAAGTCGCAATTTTCTTTCAGTTTGTGGTATGTCTCATCGGAGATAAGATTGTGGGAATGGTAGAAATCTGTAGCTCCCAAGTTGTCAGAATAGGCGTCAGTTGCAGGATTACCCACCTACATTTTCGTTTCCACAAGTCAGGAAGTTTGACACGTTAAGTACGGAGTTTAATCTGGAGGAACAGTAAAAAACTTGTCGGTAATCACCTTACCGCAAATCCCTTGAGGTTGATTTTGAAGCCTGTCGATTTCTCATTGTAGTTCAGTATTTGCTGCGCCAGCTCTGGCACATAGTGCCCTGTTCCCAGCACACAATTGTCAATACAGAGGGATTGCATGCGGATAAACCTCTTTTTAGGCGAAGCATACATGCAGTGCCTCCCAAGTTTTCGACAGGAGTCTAGATACAAGTGAAGCAACCAACCATATCGGAGAGTAGATGCTCTGCTGAGGGTTACAGGCTCAATGTCGAAGTTGTCAATTCCGAGGAAAAGGATTACCTGCGAAGCTCTCTCCAGTCAAGTAGAGCTCATTCTTCTTATATTCGGGGAACTTGTCGTACCATCCAAGGGTGAATGCCAAGTTGTCCTGAGCTGCAAGAGTTTATTCTCTATTCAGGACCTGGCGTGTATAGTTATCTTTACTAAGTAAGTTAGTGCGAAAGGGGGTACAATCCATACGATTTTATGATTCCGATGAAACATTCTTGAACCCACCTTGACATTCACGATCAAGAATGTCAGGAGTGTCAGACGGATCCCAGCTTCTTACCAGTGAGATTGTCTGAGAAATAGGAATAGTCAGATGATGTGTTGGAGTATGAATAGCCCACAGATGCAGGTGACTCGATGAATACCATGTTAGCCACTGTAATTTCAACCTCCCAGGTACCCACCATTAGCTGATCAGATTTGTGTAAGGCTCCACGGAACTCATTAGGATTTCCTCACATGATGAATACAAAGTGCAGGAATGAAAGTATCATTATTGCTACAACGCGACAACAGGGGCTGTACAGACTTCAGTAAGTTCACAATCTCAAGCAATAACATTGTGGAATTTGAACCCACACAAGATTTTATGTTGAGGGATCTCAATGAGTATTCTACATCAAGAGTCTTGTGTTTGATTGAACTGTTGGTACATTCTCTGACCTTGAGGTTTATGAGAAGAAGCGAAAACATACATTTATTCCATGAATGCTTATTACGAACTAGTCCCGTGCCGTTGTAATTCGGGAAGAAAGGCCCTAGTTCCTCCAGCGCTCCCACTCCAACAGATGAACATCCAGGTCCTGCTTCATCTCAACCGTTTCAAAGTTAGAACTAAGTTTCCTTCTCTAGGAACTTCGTGAGGACCTCAATCTACGTGGGAAGAAAATAATGCCCGACAATCACCAAATTCTTAAAGTTCAAGTGCACTCTAATTATATTTGTGTTACGAATGTGAGGCCCGCCTAGTGCCCATCCTGTGTGAGAAGCAAATTTCAAGTTCTGAAGTTTGAAACTACCGCTACGAATTGGATTCTCTAAAACTAAAAACATCTGGCTGTAGCAGACCTCCGTTAAACCAGAATGCCAGGGGTTGAGAAGCAGCTTTCTCGTGATCAGCTTCCACAAACCAGTAGAAGAACGCTCTCTTGTGGCTCTCGCTAACTGTGATGTACCCTGCATACTGCTTGAACTTCACAGGCGGCTGGCCAGGTAGAGATTCCACTCGGTTCGAGACATCTGCACCTTGGATTCCTTTCAGATATGTGCTGGCCATGAAGCAACAAATCAATGGGAAGAAAAATTGGTATGAATTCATACTTCACTTCCGTCCCACTTCCAATTTTCGCCAGGTCCCACACAGCCCGGTGCTTGCCGGCCACTCAAGTATCTCCTTAGACGATTCAAGCGCCACTCTCAAGTGCTGCTCTCTTGAAACTTTTCTGGATTTGAAGGGGGATGGAGCGATGGCGAAGAAAACAGAAACTCTGCGAGGGTCATGTAGAAGGGCATATACCTGAGCGAAAAGTACATATCGAAAGAGGCGACGAGCGGTAGAGAAATCCTAGAAATTTTGAAGGCGCGACTTACGTAGTTCACGGGATTATTTTGCGGTTGTCACTTGCAGTTCATCTGGATAGTCGCAGAAAAACTACTATAAACCATGAAACCTTTGGGAATGATTGCAAAAGGGGCTTGTTGCGAGCCGGAGTCTTAAACCACGATGGCCAATTCACTGGAAGATGAGTACCAGGCCCTTTATCTTGAGCATGCAGGCTTTGATCGCTTCATGTCAAGCTTTATTGAGAAGATAAACATCGTCCGAATCCGTACTACATTTCCACGGTCCCCCATCTCGAAGTTCACGCATCGGAACCCTTTTCTTTTGTCTGCTCTCGGCGACGTTTATCCTCGATCATGATGAAGGCCATGCCCCGGGTCCTAGCCTCATGAACCTTTCTGCCGAAGATATTCTTCTCAAGTCGCGAGTCATTAACCTCGTCTAACTGTCGGTTTCCGGATTTCAGTGATTCCACCGGTTATTCGATCAACATCTTAGAAATTGCTCGCTCTGGCCAAGCTTCTGATCTAGAACCAAACGCTTGGCATTTCTCGCAACTGGTGTCAGACGCTGGGAATTGTGTTGTCGAATACCTACAATCAGATGTGTTGCTGCTGAGCAAGCTTTATTTGTTTCAGGTGTGCACCAATCCACGGTGTTCCACGAGACCTCCACGTCCCTCAAGGCACCATAACTTCGATCCACTCGGTAGTTGATACTCATTATGAAAGCTCAGATCGCCCTTAGACTTTGTTTCTGCAGCACCCAAATATTCATTCACGTCACTGGGAAATCGGTTGACCATCTAAGAGTCTGGCAACCAATTGTCAGTGCTCCGATCATACTGTACAGAACAGTAGCAGTAGCTTGTACGAATCTCCTTATTTGAGATCACTACCCTATTTGAGATGCTTTCAGTAAAAGAACCCGGGATTAGATAGTAACTGCATTATATAATAGATTTGGAATTCGTTGTTCACCCTTGACACCCCCCTCAGACCCTGACGTAGATCTGAGCGAATTGATTGTGCAGAGGAGGATAAGTTAGCATGACACTGCAGCTGATAAATCAGTTGGATGTGGGACCTGGCATTCTGGAATGTTTAGTGTTGCTAGTCAATGGCTGTCAGTGATATACCAATGACGCTGACGAGCTTTGCCCTATTGTACTTGTGGGACGCTGGTTTCTCAGCTGAGCATTTCTTCTAACAGCTGTACCATGAAGAGCAGTAGCAAACGCTTTCTGATGTGTTGTCTCAAGACATGGTCAGCCATTTGTACAATAAAGTTGTGTGGTAACTGTCTCTCTCTCTCTTTTGAAGTATCACAGCACTCCTGTTGTGTGTGCAATGCTAGAGTGACGAATCTATTTGTCACATTCATTGGATTTTCTTACACTTTCCAGTTCAATTTGTGTACTCTGTTGCGTTACTGGAATCACGGTGACTCAGTCTGAATGAAGATCCACGCTACACAAAACTACGGTGCACTCTTTCAACGGTGACCCAGTCTGAATGTGTCAATGCCATGGTGTCCTCAGCAGCAATTTTCTGTGCAAGCATGAAAAAAACTTGCAGTGTACTGGACGTTGTTTTCCATTGTCTTCGTACTTCAACATCACAGCTTGCTCGAGAGTGAAAAAGCACCAGCAGACAACACTAGGTGGTTGAAACACCAATTTTGCTAACACCCACTTGTCACTCACGCTTAACATTGACAGTGTTTGGATTAGGACTATGCATTTGATTGCCTTCAAATAAAACACAGCATAATGGTATTATAAAATGTGTTTTATCTGTTTGGTCTCAAGTTTGAGCAACGGTCAAAGTAAAGAAGCACGGTCTTAAATGGCCATGCCTCTACAAGGGAACACAGCCAGAATGGACTTAATTCTCATGGTTTAAATGCTACATGAGCTGTCTAGCCTGTGAACAAGTGTGAGAACTCTGCTTAATACAAATTAATGTGAGCATCCTGGTCCTCTCTGCCTCACTATCAAGCTATATTGAATGCGAGAGACTGAATCGATTTATGCTTGCAGCTGATTCAAACTCTTTTGTTTTGTTTTTATTATAATACTAAGAATGAATTATTTGTATATTTTTTAAATTATTAGCATAGTTTACTACATTTCATGATGCGGAAGTTTATACAAAGTGAATAGGATTTGATGCCCAAATGTCAAAATCTAGAGGTTGTGTGTTCAATCTAGTACAGATTCTTGAATAGTTTGATAGTGGAGTGGTTTGGAAAATTGTTTTCAGTTTTTTCAGTATTTTGCTTTATTTTTACAAATATGGTTTGAAGTCTACATTAAAATATAATGTTTCATATTTTATAACAATAATGAAACAATAACTGCAATGAGTTAATTTATTTATTTATTGGGATGATGTTATTCATTGTATTTATTATTATTATTATCATTATAATTTAATATATAGATATGTACAAATATATGCATAAATAAATATTAAATTAAAATTAAATTATATTAATTTGATTTAGTTGATTAGTTTTAAAGGAATATCTCTAATGGTTATAAAATCTATTTATTTAACTACATAATTACATTTATAAAAGAGATATAAATATTGCACTTTTATACATTATATTATTTATATTCTATTATTTATTTGTTACTCAATTTGATAAAAGACAAACTTAGCAATATGATAAAAAAAAATGAACATTTTTTTGCAATTTATGTTCTTAATAGGAATCTATATTTATTGTACCAAATTATAGTATTAATAATTTGTACTATTAAACATAATAATAAAAATACCTAATATTATTTTTTATAATTTAACAAATATCTTCAAAATATATGTGTAGTTAACTTATTTTTATATGATATCAAACTTAAAATATATAAGTTATAATTAAAACAAGAAACAAATACATAAAAAATATTTAAAAATATTTATAGATTTTTTTTTTTAATTTAATTGATTATTATTATTTATTTTTAAAAATAAAATAAATAATTTTTTAAATTTAAATAATCTAAATAAGTCTTAGAATTGAACAAAGATATAATTTGAAAAAAGTATACTAGTTACTAAATTTTTGAATAAATGATATATAATTCTAATTATAAATGAATTTCTTGTGTAGGTTTTATTTATAAAATTTTTTTCTAGTAAGAGTTCTATCTAAGTAACTAAATTACTATCCTATTGTATATATATATATATATATATATATATATATATATATATATATATATATATATATATTTTTTTTTTTATTATTTTAAGTATATAATAAATTAAAAAATTTATGTCATATATTTTAAAAATATTCTAGAATAATTTAGATATTTGAGCTATTTTTATAAATATTTTAAAAACCTTTAGAATCTCCTGAATTCTTCAATAAGATTACTAAGTTTTTTTTGGAGTTTTTAAAAGGTTCCTACCAATCTTATATAATCTTATAAAATTTTCTAGTGAAAAATATCCAAGTAACTTATAAAAAGGATTATTATTAAATAGCTACAAAAAAAACCCAAGAATAATATACTAGATGAGTATAATAGAAAAAAAATAAAATTTTAAGAATTTTATTAAATAGTGTAATTATTTCTTTGCTTGCATCATCTAAGCTTTCTTTCTAGATATATGTAGGTCAAATTTTTGGAATTGTTTTTAACTAGCATGCATTATTTTAATTTGAATTTTTTTTAAAAAATAGATTTAGAGACATTCACAACTTTAAAATTTTTATGGTAGAAATTAATCCATTTTTTTAAAAAAATGATAAGAAAAAGGTTACAAAAAAAACAGTGTGATACTTAAATGTATTTATTTGTATGTAAAATGTTTTTTGCTACATTGATTTGAATGAAAAAATTATTAGTTAATTTTCATAAAGCTTTAAGAAAATTGAAAAAAACTATATTTTTAAATGGAAAATATTATTATTTTAAGAAAATTTATTTTACAAATTGCATATAGTAATTAACTATTTGAGAAGTGAAAACAGAAATAATTTAAACAGAAGTAATTTAAATAATGTGTTTCAAATCCTTACATCAAAAAATCATGCACTATTAGTACTTACATACAAAATTAAGGTGATCCTATAAAATTTAATGAATCTTGATTTAATTTATTGATAATAGTTAAAAAAGAATAAAAAATACTTTAATTATATATTTTTTTAAACCATTTTTTTGATAAGATTAATTAAAAATATTTAAATAAATGATTATTATATTATAACAATATCTACTTCTATCAAAATAATATAATTAGAATTTACTAACTTCTTACTATAAAAAATACTTTTTCTTCTTTTTAATTGATATCTTGTTTTATAATTCTTATATCTATTACAATATAATATAGTAATATTTTTTTATAAAATTTCTTTTGAAGAAAAGAACTTAAAGGTGTTTTTAGAATGAAATTTTTTCAAGGTACAAAATTTAATAACCGTAAAAAAATTCTTTCCAACATGTGTCATAGTTATTAATAATAAATCTTTAGATTTTAATATATTATTAAAAATATATAATCTTTGAAAGTATTTGTAGTAGAATAATTATCTTATATTGTCTTCATTGTTCTTTAATTTTTTTTCCAAATTTGTGATTTTAAATGTTTATGACTTATATTATATAATCTAATAATATATTATTACTTGTCTAAAGTAATTACACCCAATTGCAATGGTATTACTTGTCTGAAGGGCCCATACCCACTTGTGGATGAAAACTACCAAAGCACCTCAACAACACGGCATTAGAGGAGCAATAAGCAAGGAGATAAGGTGCCATTATAAGTTCATCAAAATTAATAGAGATGTAGTAAGATAGAAGAATATTTAAGGGTTAAAAAAAGTACTTAGCAAATAATTAAAAAGTAGTATAGTACTAAATAGGTTTCACTTAGTAGTACCACAAATTAAGCTACTATTAGGCCAAAGGTCGTGTAATTTTGAGTAGGCAATAAACTAGTCTTTGCCTCTTTTTTCTTGATTATTATTTGTATCAAATATAGTATTGCAAGGACATATTCCGTACTTGCTAATAACTTTGAAAGTCCAAATAACATTTGTCAAATATCTTAGAAAGCATCACATAAAAAAACCTAGAGAGGTTTTGATGGATGATGAATATGGGATCTATAAGCAAAATAAGCAAAAGAACCGGTGTCATCTTGTAATACAACTATATGATAAAATTTTAATAAAAAATAAATTTCTAATTGATATTTAATTATCTTGATTCAATAGTAATTCAAGATATTTAAACATGGCTATATAAAGTCTTCTTAGTCTATTATCTTGTTTTAATAGCTAATAGTTTAAAGATTAGTTAGTAATTTATCTTCTAGATTGTAGAGTTTCTTTTAGTACCTTAGAAGGGCCATAAATTAATAAAAATATGATAAGAGAGATAAATAATTAGTATGATTGATACTAGGATTAAATTGAAGGTAGGATTGGGCTAAAAAATCCCTAGGATAGATTGAATTGATATCTGAGGATCGACTATTTGTGGAACAGGGTCAAAATCAAACTTCTAGCCTCTAAAATAGCCGCCTAGGGCAATATATGGATTCATTTGAAGATTGGTAGTTAAAATTTGTGAGCTAAATTTAAGCTTATTTTAAATGTATAAGGCTTATTTTCATAGGATTTGAAATAACTTTGCAATAATTATTCAAAATAAAGATTTATATCAATGATTTAGAATTTATGTAATACAATTAGGACTAGTATTCTTAGCTAGTTTGTACAATTGGTGTCACATCTACAGTTTATAATTTCATAATACTTGTTTAATTAATTGTGCTAAATGTGTGTAAAATTTTGTGTTAATTTTATAGTATAATTAAAAGATATCTAGGTTTTAGTACAAGAGGATATTAAAAGTTGGCAATTTGAGGTCAGATAGGGTTTCTATAATATCTAAAGATCTACTTATTGGATCAAGGTGAAATTTGACATAATGTTAGAAGACTTTAAGATCAATGTGCACACCAATTTTGAATTGAAGTTAATAGTTGAAGAAGGAGA